GGTATATGGCAATAGGCTCACCCCCTATTACATGGGACTCATAACATACATAAATAGTAAAAAGTAGGTGTTACTTCTGTGTGCACCTCTGCCTACCCCTTCGGAGATAAAAAGGCGTGATGTTATGTTATCTATATAAATAAAAATAAATTTCCGTTCGTTAGTCTCGGTAAAACTCGAGAACGTCTGAACCGATTTGGCTAATTTTAGTCTTGAAATGTTCGTGGAAGTCCAGGGGAGGTTAAAAAGGTGAGAAAAAAGTTTTTAACCGGTACATAGTTTGCCGAGTCAGTTAGTGTTAAATATATTTCCAAAATAACTATCAGCTGATAAGGCATCGATACTGAAGCCAAAAATAAAATCAGTAAAATTTATGTCTGTCGGTCTGTATGTCTACGCTTCACGCAAAAACTACATCAACAATCCTGGGCACAACGTTGAGTATTTATCAACCCGAAAATATACGAAAATTAAACTTAATTGTGCGGCTCAATCATTAGACACAGTTACTGGACCAAACGCAAATATAAGGTTGTCGAATGTTAGGTTGCCGACTTTACGCTGTAACTTTAAGGCCGATGGTTGAAATTAGCTTGAACCAATATTACAAAAGTGTGAGTTTATGTGTTTGAATGTATGTTTGTTACTCTTCTTCTTCTTTTTATATTCCTGAAGGTTGTACGTCAACTTTTGTAATTGGTCCTTGTCATTGGCCAGACCGAAAAGTTGATCCACAGAGCTGATACCAGTCCATTCCCCTTTTCCTTCTTTCCGACTTTTTCCTTCATCCAGCGCTTCTCTTCCCTTCCACCTTACCCATCATTATAACATGAAGCAGCATGTATCTGTCATGTCTCAGTACGTGACCGAGATATTCTATATTGCGCTTTTTGATGGTTTGGGTCATTTTGCGTGGCATGTGGACGCGCTGGAGCACCGTATCGTTCCTGACCTTTTGCATCCAACTTATGCGCAACATCCGACGGTAACATTACATTTCAAACGCCTTTATGCATCTAATGGTGTCATCTTTTAAGGTCCATGCTTCGCAACCGTACATAACGACAGGCCAGACGTAGCACAACAGCATCCGAACTGAAGCTTTATGTTCAGTTATTATGTTTGTTACTCAGTCACATCAAAACGACAGAAGGGACCGGGATGGAATTAAAACAGAGGTAGATTCAAAGTCAAAGTAAAAGTCAAAATCATTTATTTCAATTAGGCCAGAATGGCACGTCGCTTTTGAACGTCAACAAAAACAAAAATTTAAAGTGAAGCTATTTGCTCATTCCAAGGCGTAGATTCCTACGGAGAAGAACGAGCAAGAAACTCCATAGGTTACTCTTTTTCAATCAGGTTCACAATACAATTTACTAGTTACATAGTTTTGCTGTTTGGATTGTGCGAGAACAATGTAACACTAAAATCCAGTCAAAGTGATCAAAAAAGAAAATAACCTTAAGGACAGTCTAGTAAGTTAGTCTGAAGTAATACATATACTACTAAAACCTCTGAGAACGAGGGCGAAGCCGCTGGCAGAAGCTAGAAACTAATAATATCTTGTATTTCTTTTTGTATTAAGTAAACATTTAGATTTACATAACATACGAGTCACGCGCCAGTAGACACGACCTTTAATGGTACACAGACAGATCAAGAAGAATAATAACAAACACACGAGCGTTTTATTTCTATGTCCTGTCGCAATCTATATACATATATTATTATTTATAATAATAAAATCGTAGAAAAGTCAAAACTGTACATTAAATATTTTTTAAAACAATGCTTGAGACGTGATCTACAATCGATACGAAGCCAAAAATATGGGTTTTAGAATTTGTATCTGTTTGTTTATTTATCTGTATATATGTATGTCTGGAATGAACTCAAATGTACTGCATGGATTCACTTCAAATTTTGCATGAATATTACTAACAGGTCGGGTCAACGTAAAGGCTACATATTATCACGCTAGCATCAACGGGGGAGGAGGTGTGAATGACGCATGTTGTTTGTGACTAATCCATGCTATAAACTAGATTTTAAAGAAAACCTACAAATTACTTAACCTATTAATTACTTAATTGAATACATATATTGTATTCATGAATTATAGCTTCTGCCCACGGCTTCACTTGCGCTCTTAATGGTTGGGGGCAGGTTTATAAAAAAAGAGAAATGGTGCACAATTGCTTTGCTGGTCACAAATAGTCCGCATACCAATGCTACATACAAACTTCCACCCCCCATTTTAGGGAAGTGGGGGGTCAGAAAAGACCAAAATGTAGCTTATGCAATTTCTCAACGTCAATATCTATACTCGGAATTTTAATTCGATTCCAGATTTGACAATTTCAGTGTTGCAACGTTATGACAAGTACTAAATAGTAACGTTGCGAAATTATTCGATATGTAAATGAAATATTTCTGGATCGATTCTTCTCGTTTATAATTTTATTCTCGTAAACTAAGTATATCACGAAATTAAATATTTCTGAACCGATAATTTAGTTTTGACGATAATTTACCGATATGAGACTTTTCTTTTATAATTGTGTGTGAAATAAATAAAAGAATAAAGTAATCATGAAGGAACATGACAAATAAAACAGGTAGATGTATTATGGTAATAATCTAATTTATAAATTGTCGCCGTCATCGCTATCGCTATCCTGACACTTTCTGTAACATTTATATTATAAAACACACACACCGATTGTTTATCGATTATTGTGTTCATCACTACACTATTATATGTGGTATCATTATTTCACAAAATGACAGTAGCTAATGTCATATCTGGAATCGAATTAAAATTCTGACTATAGCTCTGTTATATTGTTAAAGACTTTCTATGTCATCTGACATTCTCTTGACAAGTGACTTTTGTTTTTGTAATCAACTTAACATTAAATTATGCAAAGAGGTTGACAGACGTCTAGAGAAGAAATCCACGTTTAAATTGTTATCTTAAGAATTATAGTACGTTAAAATGCCGAAACTTTTAAACCATTAAACCTATTTAAATGAAGTTCGGTACAACAACGATTTGCAACCCGGGAAACGAGATAGAATAGTGTTAATCACTGAAACCTCACGAGACAGGCACTGTACGGGTTAAACCCATTAATAAATTCATTTCACAATAAATATAACCTCGATACTGAATCGATTCTGACGACATATCTTCTGTAGAATATCCCTTGGTAAAGACTAATTCAAAAGCCCCAATTCTGCCAGAAGTCATTATTCTACATGGACGATGTCGCTGGCAATAACTAGTCAGGTAATAACAAACGTATCTGATCACAGCGCTCTCAGACTTAGGGTGTGTTTCACAATGTCTGAATTCCGGTACCAGATAGAATTAAGAACGTAAGTTCATCGTGTCCCTAGTGCGGGTCATGATGCAGAGCGAGGGGGAATGGGATGCCGTCTACTCCTTTTGCGAAGCAGTCATGCTAGCTAAGGAGGAGGCGGGTCGCGTGAGTCAGCAAAGCGCTGCCTCCTCACAACCCAGACATCGCGAAGGCCACTCCAGGCGTCCGGGATCGTAAGACGATCTCCGACCACCGTAAGCGCGGGCCTGCGGACGGCGAGCATGGGTCGCTCGCCGCCCGACCAGAACCAGACCCGAGCGTACGGCGCATCGCGTACAATAGGGCGCAATAAGGCTGATGCCGATACGGAGCCGTGATGACTTAACGGGTTGCCGGCTCGAAGTGCAGGAGCAGGAACGGGGTGGTTTTTAGTCAGTAACAGTCTGACATTCTGACTTTTTATTACTATAAAATCTGAGCGATCTGTAATTGTAAATATATTTTATGTTTTTTTTAATACATTTATTTATATTTAACTAGCTTCTGCCCGCGACTTCGTACGCGCAATCCCGATATTTCCCGTTCCCGTTCTTGATTTACGGTAAAAAGTAAAAAAAAAATTGGGTAAAAAGTATCCTATGTCCGTCTCCTGGTTCTAAGCTACCTCCGCACCAATTTTCATCCAAATCGATTTAGCCATTCTTGAGTTATAAATAGTGTAACTAACACGACTTTCTTTTATATATATAGATTATTCATTTACCTTACCTAGGCGGGAGCAGTCATTCGATGATTTTCCCCCTTAAAAAATCGTGTACTTATAATATAATAATATGATGGGCTTTTACATTATATAGGTACTTACGTAACTTTTTAAACTTACCTTTCTTGTTTACGAGTTTGTGAGCATGACCAATGAGCGGCCATTTCCCTGGGCACGTCGTCACTTGCTCATTCACTGGGAAGTACCACCGACACAGGAGCACATACGCTAACCACATACTTATTAATGTGACGACTATACTCACTATCATTGTCAATAATTGTTTGTCTTACTTGAAAGATAAAATGTTCTAATATTCACAAGTGCATATAATTTTAGACTGAACTAATTATCTGCAATCTAGTGTTCTAGTGCCTGTGCATTTGTGCTGCGAATGAGCTAGGCAGGTAATGTAGTCTAAGTTTCGTAGCTGCAGTTTTAAATTGCAAATTAGTATCCAAAATTTTAACCTGACATTATATGTGTGTTTGTATTATTATTAATTAAATTAATTACGAATAGATGGCTCCTCGTTGATCTAGTTTACATATTAGCGAAACAGAAGGTCTCGAACTCGTTTTCTGGGTTAAGGTAAAATGGAAATGTTATTTTTATTAAAATTACCATTAGAGTGTATAAACAGTTTAATTGCCGCCTCAACTCAATTGATATAATTACAAAACCACTAAAAATATTATAGTATTCAGACAACATAACCACATAATTTAATTTAAACCGAAACCTCCTCCTGAATGAAACATTGTGTGAATAACTAGATGTTCTTAAAAAATCACCCAACACTGTGTAGTTTAAAAGTGTTTATTTATAATTATCACCATTATCACGTAATCCTGACCTTAGTCCTCTTGTTCAGCGAAACATTCTAATATGACTGTGTCAATGTATATACATTAATGTCTTTTGTCAATTTGAATCAAATGTCCCGATAAAGGTTTGTTCATTACTTTGCATTCTAATTTCATTTTCGTGTGGTCAGCAGTGAGCTTGTACTTGCGCAGTAATGCTACGATGGTTGCTTTCAAATACATTAGCGCATATGATTTACCTGTGAACGAAATGTATTTTTACGATTAATCCTCTGGTACTAAAGTTAAAAAGAAACAGCATGGGCGACAGATTGGTGCCCTGAGGAACCCCTTTACTAACAGAGAAAAGTTTTGTGATCTATAACAAATAGAACTAGTGTTAAAGTATTCTTCGTTTAGAATTAGAAATGAAATATCACAGGCTTAAAGATGTATTCATGTGGAAAGCATATACTGAAACTAGTATTTAAAAAATATCTGGGAAGTGCAGCTCACCTACACAACCTCTTTTTCCTGGCCCAAACGTAGCAAATGCAGCTTGATGGCTAGGTATAGTTGTGGAATCCAACCATCTTTCAGGCCTAAATTCCTTCGCATCAGGACCCCAGTATTTTGGGTTTCTATTTATATGCCATATATGCATAATAATAGAACTGTTTGCAGGAATGGTCACGTTACCTGAGGAGATAATTTTTATTTGTTTCTTAATTTTTTGTGTGCATAAAGTACTTGTCAATTTAAAGGCAACGTACCTACATAAATGTATTAAGTGCACCACAATGTCGGTGGTGTATTTATGTGTGCGTGTACTTGCAACTTCATAATGTATGAAGTGTAATGGCGGCCATGTCACACGACAAATCTCATTCGTGTTAATGTGTGTGTATATTACGTGTAAGTTTATAGTAGCTAGGTGCCACAGGTGCCTCTTTTTTCCAAGAGACTATGTCCACCATTTGTTCAACATCGTTGCTCAAAAATATATGTAAGTATCTTAAACAGAAATCTTCAAATCATACTCACGCAACTTTGTGGCTGTTTTCACATCACGACCTATAACGGCTCCGACTGGATATAATCTGACAGCTTCTTTAACAACTGCATCTAAATACACCAGTTGAGATAAATTATCCCTTAGAAGACGTTGGTCTTTGCCCAAAACTTCATTCATCCTGAAATAGATGTTAAAAGAAGTGAAAAATATCTAAGATACGTGGATTAGTAGAACGAATGTATCGAAAATATACGTTACTCTTGAATAATCTTGTCTTGTACTTCGGAACTGCTGCCAATGCAGATCAATACGTAGAGCATCTGGTAGATAGTGGTGTCGAAGGCTCCTACCACCACGGTGTCCATAAAGTTCCTCAATTCGACATCAGTGAAGAGGCTATCGGTTTCATTGACAGAGTTTTCCAAAATTACGTCTAATACGCTTTGAACCTTATCACCTAGGGGGTAGAAAAGGGCATTGACTAAAATTGGTGCCTTTCTTTTTTCTGGCGGCAGTCGATGATTTATGGAAAATATTATCTAGAATGTCATTACAAACGAAATTGTCTATGGGCTCATATATGGAAATCTCAGTCTGGACTGAGTTATGAGCGTTAAAAGAAGCTGGAATCAAACATTTTACTTTCGTTTTTTTATTCAAATTATTCATATTTTTGTCACAATTTCTAACTTCAAATTGCGCGCCACTGTACGCCGGGCACAGAAACACCAAATCACACCAGAATATATCCATATTCCCAGTCGCTAATTTTTATTACCTATTTTCTCTCAGTCGATAACTTGTGGGATGCTTCTAGGAGTTGTGTCATGAAGCTTCATGAGTGTCAGCTGTGGTACCAGTGGTGGGTTGAGTAGTTGTAGCCGTCCAAACATCTAATAAAGTATTTTTTTGCCGTTGACTCCTGGTGGGAGACTCATTTACTTTATAGTTAGCATAATCTTTTGAAGAAAGCAAACCGTCGACTTTGTAAAGTGATGGAATATACGTCAGATGAGCGTATAATTTTTTTATATAATGTGATCATTCGAAATGCATCACTTTGTGACGGAATGACGATGTCATTGTACAGAATCTTATGATTTTTTTTTTTTTTTAAGGGGGAAAATCATAGAATGACTGCTCCCGCCTGGGTGAGGCGGAAGGGAGTGTCAGACTCTTACTGACTAAAAACCACCCCGTTCCTTCTCCTGCACGTCGAGCCGGAGCCCCGGTTACCCGTTAGGTTCTCCGCGACCCCGAATCGGCATCGGCCCTATTGGGCCCCATCTGTGGTGGTCTGATGGCTGCGGAACTCTGCGCGCCGTACGCTCGGGTCTGTTTCTGGTCGGACGGGGAGCCACCCATGCTCGCCGTCCGCAGGCCCGCGCTTACGGTGGCCGGAGATCGTCCCGCGATCCCCGACGCCCGGTGTGTCCTTCGCGATGGCTGGGTTGCGAGGAGGCAGCGCTTCGCTGCCTCACGCGTCCCGCCTCCTCCTTAGCTAGCATGACTGCTTCGCAAAAGGAGGAGACGGCATCCCAGTCCCCCTCGCTCCGCATCATGGCCTGCACTAGGCCCGGACGCTGAGGTCGCCATCGCCGATCACTTCCCTGAGGGCACGGCGGTGCTCAGCCCACGCAGGGCATTCCGCTACGGTGTGTTCCACCGTGTCCTCAGGGTGGTCCTCGCAGTGATGACACCCGGGCGTTTCCTCCCGCCCCATCAGACACAGGTACCTCCCGAAACTTCCATGTCCGGTGAGGACCTGCGTCAGGCGGTAGGTGAGGACGCCGTAGCGTCTCTCAAGCCACTCCTCAAAGAGGGGACTTACCGCTGCAATGGCAGCGAGCCCAAGAATCTTATGATAGATGTAGTTTAAAGTATTAACTGTAGTTAGATTAGTCACTAATCGGAAGTAGGTAAGTCGGGAGAAGTAGACAGAAAAATGATTTTTTCATGTTTTGACGACTGTTACTACTCAATCCGCTACCGACGCCGCAGCTGACAAACATAGCATTTCATGATAGGGCTCAGTAAAGTATTTTGCGGGTTTTTGACTGAGAGGAAATTGATCATGAAAATCTGTCATAGGCCATTAACCGTATACATATAAATTGAATACGCTAGCCAATCAAACGAAATGTTTTTTTTTCATCAGCAGTGGTCAGTTAATGGCTCTGTTCTGATTCCGTGGCCTTATAACAAAAAAAATAAATGCAATAAATAAAAACAAATATAAAAAACAAGAAAAAAGTAAAAATGTTTACAATAAGCTTTATTATATTCCTAGATATCGTCTATAAACATTTATTACAAAATATTTCTGACAAGTAAATGAAGAAATATGTGTTGTGTACGGTCACCATCAACAAAATCACAGGAATTATAATAGCACTATTTTCACATCTTTGAACTGATTTAACTCGGTTCGGACTGTGTTTTTGATATAAGACCCCATACATTTTTTTGTTTGTAATATTATTCTGTATTAGTTTATCCATATCCGATCAACTGCCGCGAAAAAATGAAAAGGCACCACGCGCCATACAGATTTGGTCATTGTCATTTATAAATAATTTCTTAAACCACATTTAAAATAACCGGCTTCAAGTTCCTCTATTTTGAACTCGGTTAATTAATATACTAAAACCTTTTCCTAAGTGTAACAAACACGGTGTCATACTGCGAGGACCGCCCTAAGGACACGGTGGAACACACAGTAGGGAAAATGCCCTGCGTGCCTCAGAGGCGCGATCGGCGATGGCGACCACTCGCGCCCGGTCCTAGTGCGGGTCATGATGCGGAGCGAGGGGCTGGGACGCTGTCTCCTCCTTTTGCGAAGCAGTCATGCTAGCTAAGGAGGAGCAAGGTGGCTCGCCGCCCGACCAGAATCAGAGCCGAGCGTACGGCGCGTCGCGTTAAAGAACCACCAGACCACCACGGATGGGGCCCAGTAAGAGTCTGACACTCCCTTCCGCCTCACCCAGGGGGGAGAAACCATTTGATGATTTTCCCCCCTTAAAAAAATGTAACAAACACTTTTCGTAAAACCACTTCAATATCGCCTCAGCCAATCAAACATGCAGATCAAACTGAGCACCTCCTTTTATTCTTCCTGAAGTCAGTTATTAAATTGCATGTTCTCACCACAAGCCTGTTATACAAACTTATGTGAGTATAACTTAATTTTAGTCAGCATGTTTGTTGACTTATTCGTACCTTTAGTATTGAAGTCCTCTTTCTCTTGCAAACGTTGTAAATATTCTGTCTTCCTTTGCTGCACTATCTGTAATTTTCGTCCCAGTTAAGCAAGTAACAAGAACTAATTCTTAAAAATCTTACAACCTAACTATCTTATATATTGTAAAACTTTGTTCAATTCTTATTTTACCTATTCCTAGTTCTGCATCACGTATAATTTCAACCAAATGGATGATGTCGCGTATGACATTTAAAAATAAATCAAGTAATTTAAGTACATTCATTTACACCGTTACCTTTGTAAATGTATATACTCACTTTGCCAGTAAAATTGAATACGGTTTCGAGTGCCTTGTCCAAAATTTTCTTGTGATTGGAATAGTTGAAGATAGTGTCAAACATGAACCAAGGCTTGTAGACCCTGTCACAGAGAGTATCCAGAGAGCAGTTTATTGCTTTAGCGAAGTTATCATTAATTTCATCTTTTCCATCAAGATTAACTCCCAGAGTAGTAACTGGAATAATTTTGAAATCAATTTTAACTCGTCGAGTACCGTATTTATAGACAAATTAAAGAACAATAGGTTGCAGTCACCGGTGACCGCTTGGTGTTTGACAGTTTAAATTACACAGTTTCTTTAATATACGTGTTCATTTATTATGCAAATGGTAACTGACTAACGAAGAAAACTTGACGAGTGCTACGTGATAAGGGATGTAAAAAATGGAGACTAATAAACCCTTGGATTTTGTAACGTAAGCTCAGGTCTACTAACAATATATGCTTGTTCCTCAGATTACAATACTCACGCCAAGAAGTTTCTAGAACACTCCTTGTGATTTTCTGGATAAGGTCCACTTCACCTTGACCAACGTCATCAGCAAGTGTCTCGACAAACCGCTCAGCGCGATCATTGAACAGTTGGAGGTAGTCGTCCAATATGTGCTGCTTGAAGCAAAGGTCTAAAACTCTTCGACTACGTTTCCACACGGGGACTGGAATAATTTTAAATAGTTAAACAATCAACATTATTTATTAGATCATAAACAATGGTAAGAGATCAGGACCGAATTCATGTTCAGTATCTACTATGTTGAACAAAACATCGCAGCGATTTCAAACAACAGAACTATCTAATAATACGAGCAAGTCATTGCAAAAATTTAGTGAAATGTTAAAAATACTACAGACATATACTATTACCTTCAGCAACAAACAATATATCACCCAACATTGGTTTTACAAACTGGCATGCAAATATTTTGTCCAAACATTTGTTGGCGACTGTAGCGACATCTTCAGGGTCTGTCACAACTAAAACATATTTGATAGTGTATTAATAACAGTGTTACACACACAAACTTCGCTCCACTACCACCGTTTGCTATTAGTCTAGGAACAGGCAATGGAACGCCATATGACACAATTTTCTTTACGTTCATTAATTTATATGCGTATTCATCATTTGAAGGCGCTTTTAAGGTAAACTCAAACTCCTAAATATATTTGTATGTCTTAGCATAGACCAAACATAGAGTATTGTTTACCTTTAAGATCTGTATTTTTGTTACCTATGTTTTACAAATAATAAATGGTTGATTGATTGATTTTAATTTGGCGTTTTTAATAAACGTATGACAAGTAATTACAAAATTACTATTCACTATAACAAACCGTATAATGGCATTGGTCCTATGTAAAACTTCGTGACATCTCCAATCTTCACGGAATACTCCCCAAATGCCATCATATTCTCAAATACATCTGAAAAAAAAAGTCAACACGTACTTTGGCTATTATTTAGAAACTTATCAAAAGGTCAAGATGATTCAAGCGGTCACCGGTGACCGCCCTCCACTTACACCATTATAGACCTTATTACCGATGTTTAGAGATTACTTTTGTATGAACAAATGTTGTGGATTTTTCATAATCGGACATAAGAGTGTTCAGTAGTTATTTTAAATTACATCAGTAGTTGAGTAAAATCGCGGGTTACTCACGTGAATATACTGAGAAAATCTCTACTAGTTTCGAACCACAGAGAGGTTAAGTGAGAAGAACCCCTCTGTGGTTCGAAACTAGTAGAGCTTTTCTCAGTATATTCACGTGAGTAAACCGCGATTTTACTTAATTTAGTTTCACGATATTTATTATAAAAACATACATCATTAGTTAATTCGTAACATCTGAACTTCGGTATGTTTTAGTTGAAAGATTTCATAAATAAAAACTAGTAAAAAGTACTTTCATACTTACTGTCAGAACACATGAATTTGTACGCATGACCAATGAGTGGCCATTTCCCTGGGAATGTCGCCACTTGCTCATTCACTGGGAAGTACCACCCACACAGGAGCACATACGCCAAACATATACATACTAACACGATCAATATAGGTAGTAACAATCATTGTAAATAAGAACTAAAAATATTTTAATACTTTTTTGTTTTTTTTTTATTGGGATAAACCCGCTAAACGGTTGCAAATAATTCTGATCTAATGTTCAGTCACACTGGTCCGTGTTTGTGATTCCACTGAACGAAACAAAATAAGCAAATTTTCGAATAGCCCTATTCCAGTATAAAATTAAAAAATCAAAATTGCGGAGGCCGCCACGCAACTAGCTATCATATACAGGATGTTTTTTTTTTATTTATTTATTTAAATAGGTATACCAACAGCTTCTGTATACATAGTATTAAGTGATAGTAAAGGTAACAAAAGGTATTAGGCTTATACAGTCGCACATAGGTTAGTCAACTTTACAATTAAGTGATAATAAAAACTATACAAACGAACGAGGACAATAAAATTTTAGTAACTAAGAAAAACTACTACTTACGAAATTAACATTCTTATAAGGTTATCATAAGGAACATAAAATTAAAAACTTTTAATAGAACTTTAAAAACCTTGATTATAACAAAATTAAACATTTAAAAAAGTACGTTTCGTAAAAAATAATTAAATTATAAAGCCTTAGCTTTATATATTATATATGAAAATTTAAAAAAATGTATATAAAGAAATGAGTGGTGGGTGTTGGGTATATCATGTACCAAATTGAAATAGTTGACTTAGGCCTTCAGGGCCCTTAACACCCCTCATGCCCTGTGGATTTTTTATCGACGTCTTATTTTTTTACTAAAAATACACCTACATTTTTAAAAATGTGTATGACTTAGCCGCTCGATGGCGCAAAGAGAGTTGAGTACCTTTTTTTAACACCCGTAGAATGCGCAAAGGGCCTACAGTGCCTTTTTTTTACGTCGCGTTCCGACGTGCACATTTATATTTTATTTCTTTCTACCCAATAGGTTTTTTATATTTCTTCTTTTTCTATTCGAATCTATGGATATTTTTCTATGCTCAAAATGCAACAACACTACAGTATAGAACGCAAAAATAAAAAAAAAATATTGTCAAAGTTTGTGCTATCTGTTGCGAACGGTCAGTGGTCGGACGACGAGTGCTCGCGAGCGAAAAATTGTTAAAAGGCAATGTTTCTTTATTTATTTTTACGTAGAATTAACCTACCTACTATTTAAAATCATTTATTGATAGAGATTTCAAAATAATACCATTTATATTTGAAACTTTGTCATTTTTAGCTATTGCTGATGTTTACACTTACCTAATAAAATATTGAGACAACTAATGTCAACAACTGTAATACCACACGATAGTCCCATTCATAAACTTAAAGAATAACATCACTTGAGCCGTCGGAACGCAACAGGAGGTCATAAATCTTTGTTTATACGAGCGGCGCGCCGATAAGGTGTCCGATGACGCAACACGCGTGCCTATGCCCCGCCTTTACTGGGCAGAGTACGCGCCCAAACGGATAGACTCTGTGTTTTACTTTTATTTTAATTTATATTGTTCAAAAGCACTTTGTAATACAAAATTAGTGACATCAACCACCTAGTTTTGATTTAATTGACTTGTTAAGTAAAAACTTAAATTAAAGCTGTACAAGGTACAGCTGTAGGTAGTACGCCTACCTACAGCAGTAACATGTTGGTGGGGTGCGTGTGGGGTCCGAATAATCATTCATGAATATGAGGCAACAACCTCATAGGAGATTATGTTCTAATAGCAAATCATCCTGTATGTAATCGCTAGGTCTGTGACGCCCTTAATAAGGATAAATCAGGTTTTACGATACTTATGGTGTATCCTTGAACGCAAATAAAGTTCATATTAACAAAGGGTAGGTAGATGAAACTTGTTATGAACGTGAGCAAAACATTCAAAACGTATTTGTCTATGTTCGATATTTTATTTTAAAAAAATAGTTTCGATAAACAAGTTAGTGAAGGTCAATCAATACTCGAATCTCCTACAAGTTGTTATTTACTTATGGAAAATTTTACATTACTGTTCGTAGGTATGTTTAAAAACATAATATAACATGTCATAACATAACATCACGCCTTTTATCCCCGAAGGGGTAGGCAGAGGTGCACATTACGGCACTTAATGCCACTGTACAAAGTACCTACATCCCACTTATTACTATTTATGTTAGAGTCTCATGTAATAGGGGGTGAGCCTATTGCCATATACATTTCCAGATTCCGTGCTACTACTGAGATTTTTTTTTAAATCCAGTGATACTTTGCGCGACCCGGGAATCGAACCCGAGACCCCTTGCCCGGCAGTCGCACTTGTGACCACTCGGCCAAAGAGTCAGTCTAGAAACATTGTCACAGAAACATTTAAAACAAAATGTAGTCTATTTTTTTTTCAATTTTATCACATGTATGCAGGTGTGGGAGAGCCATGCTTCCGCACGAATGGGCCGGCTCACAGAAAACCGACGTGAAGCAACTTGTTTCTTTGTGTGAGTGAGGTAGTGAGGTACCGGAGGCCCAATTACATACATATACCTATACTCACACACTGAAATAAATATGAAGACTGAAATTAAACACTATGAAAGTTGCATCAAACTAATTAAAAGCCTATACTGAAACTACATAGCATAACATCACGAATTTTATCCTGAAGGAGTAGGCAGCTACTCTACCTACCCCTTCAGGGATAAAAAGCGTGATGTTATGGTACATATATCACAAAGAATGTTGTTTGTTTGGTGAACGATGTTTTTTTAAATTAAAAACCTTCCATGTTGCTCAGCCAATTACATTTTTGTAGTCATATAAACACATGACCACAACCACAAAGAACAATAACTTGAGCCTATTATTTACGTCAACATAGAAAAGTATTGTATAACAATATGAATAAAGAGATTTGTATGTGTCAGTTGCGTGGATTTTGAACAAGCCTTCGATACTCAACATCATGAGTTAAGTCTTCTCAATCAAACAATTACATTGAACATTTAAAAAGGTCTTCTTCTTGGATAGTATCTATAGAATGAATTTAAGTGTGAGAGAGCCATGCTTCGGCAATAATGGGTCGGCTCGACCGGTCGGCCTCACAGAAGACCGACGTGAAACAACAAATGTTTTGTGTTTCGTCGTATGAGTGAGGTTACCGGATGCCCAATTACCCCCCTCCCCCCAACCCTTTCCCCAATCCCTGAATCCCCTACAATCCTCAAATTCCTAATTCCAAAAGGCCGGTAACGCACTTGTAACGCCTTTGATGTTCCAGGTGTCCATGGGCAACGCTGATTGCTTACCATCAGGTGATCCGTCTGCACGTTTACCGGCTTATACCATACCATTAAAAAAAAATCTCTTCGTTTAAGCTATGTGATCTCTGGTAAGCTACTAGTTGTACGTTGGGAATTTGTTGCTCGTTGTTGGATACTAGGCGCCATCGGTTGGTTATTCTTCAATATGTCTGTGTGTATCAAAGATTGATGACTGTTAATGAAGCGAAAGAGGTATGTAAGAATCGTAGTAATTGGCGTTCCTTAGTCTCTGCCTACCCCCATGGGAGACAGGCGTGAAGTATGTATGTATGTCTGCAGTCTATCACTACCATACCTACAAGATGTGGTTCGGCTAGTAAAATAATATGAATAATATCAATAAGTTCTTTGTTTTTAAGACTCAGTTGTAATTACATAAATTACACTCATATCTCACCCTCCTATTACATGGCATAAATAGTGAAAAGTAGATGTTACATGCTTGTACAGTGGCATTAAGTGTCGTTATATGCCTGCCTAGCCCTTTAGGGATAAAAGGCGTGAAGTTATGATACATTAAATATATAACTCTAAATATGTTTAAAAATCATGTAACATTATGTAAACCACAGACGTGACAACAATCACTTATAACACCATTGTACCTACAGACGACAACATTAAATAAAACTTACATTACGAAGAAAATAACAATATCTATCACTTTATTTGTATATCTTCATTTCTCTTCTCAATTTTAATCAAATGGCCTGACACAGGTTTAAGCATTACTTTACATTCTAATTTCATTTTCATGTGATCTGCCGTGAGCTTGTACTTGCGCAGTAATGCTACGACGGTTGCTTTCAAATACATTAGCGCATATGATTTACCTGTGAACGAAAGATATTTCATTTTAGATAATAAAAAAAATAAAGTATAATATTAAGAAGTCTCTTTTTTTAGTCATATCCTCCTTAAATAAAATAATTAATTTTGGCAACACAATGTATCCTTGAGGGACTCCTCTATGTATAGAAACAATCTTTTGAAAATTTTTGTATTTCAAACAGTGCAAATTCAAGTTCAGTTTTTGTAATTCAATTAATAAAATAAATTAATAAATATTTTCTCTCCAAATCAACGGCTTATAATAAAAAATATTCAAGTACTGGAATTGACAACGTAAGGTGAGTAACTTACCAACACATCCTCTTTTTCCTGGCCCAAACGTAGCATATGCAGCTTGATGGTTTGGTACAGTTGTGGAATCTAACCACCTTTCTGGTCTAAATTCTTCTGCATCTGGACCCCAATATTTTGTGTTTCTATTTGTACTCCATACATGTACAACAACAGAACTACCAGCTGGAATCGTCACATTACCTGTGTATTTTATAATTAATTAAAAAGACAGCAATATTTGATCGTGAAACGTAAGTTGACGCACAAAGAGTGTGGATGAGATATTTACACTATTTTTATACATATGTTGGTATTTTTAGTCAATTAAGTGGTAAAGAAATTCAATCCATGGTGTTTTAACTAATCTTGCAATCTCAAAACGTAATAATTTCTAAAATTATCCTTACGCAACTTTGTGGGTGTTCTCACATCTCGCCCTATCACTGGAACAATAGGATATAATCTGGTAACTTCTTTGACAACTGCATCCAAATATACCATTTGAGACAGATTCTCCTTTTCAAGCTGCCCATCTTTACCTAAAACGGCATTCATCCTATAAAGTTGACAATATATGTAAGAGATCTAAGAAAACATTCCAACCAAACATGGATCAATGTAAAAAAAATAATTGAATGTTCTTACTCCTGGATAATCTTGTCCTGTACTTGAGGGCTGCTACCGATGCAGATCAAAACGTAGAGCATCTGGTGGATAGTGGTATCGAAAGCACCGACCAGCACAGTGTCCATAATGCGTCTAAGCTCAACATCAGTGAAGAGGAAATTGGTGTCAGTCACAGAGTTTCCTAACATTACGTCTAAGACGCTTAGATGGCTGCCATCTAGAAAAAGAATAAAATAATATCCCAAGAATTAAAACTTTTCTCAGCCACAAACTCTTGCATCTATTTAAAATTCAGTTCATGTAACAATACCAATGGTTGTATAACCAAGCATTGATTATTTTCATACCTTTGTAACTGAAGTTCTCTTTCTCTTGCAAAGGCTGTAAATATTCCTTCATTCTTTGATGCACTATCTGTAATCGTTATATCATCATTAATCATGGTATTAATTATAACCATCTAAAAGTTATATTGAATCGTTTTTAAAATCAAACCTTATTATTTAACTTCAAAATTAAATTTATCTTCGAAAACAAATATATTTTAAACCTTGCTTGCTTTGTGTCCTACCAACGAATTTTCAGCATCACTCAAAACTTCGATAAACAGATAATGCAAAGACACACAATTTTGTTGATGAATCTTAGAAAAAAAAACAGCTAACCTAATAGCTACAATACTTTTTGTATTGTTATACTCACTTCCTTCGTATAGCTAGCCACTGCTTCGAGTAACTTGTCTAACCTCTTTTTTCTGTTGGACAAGTTGAAGATTGGATTAATCATGAACCAAGGTTTGTAGATTCTGTCAGAGAGAATATTGAAACTCTCATTAAGTGCCCTGGCGTAGTTATCATTAACTTCATCTTTGCCATCGAGATTTACTCCCAAAGTAGTTACTGGAATAAGTATCTCTATTATTGAATGGCACCTATCTAAACATATAATAAAACTGTAAAATCCTTACTTCCTTACTTATATTATAAAACGGAAAGTGAGTTTGTTTGTTTGTTTGTTCTGCTTTCACACCGTAACTACTAAACCGATTGCTTTAAAATTTTGCAGACGTAAAGTTAGAAGTCTGGATTAAATAATAGGGTACTTTATATCCCGGAAAAATTTGATGTTTCCGAGGGAAAACAAAAATATTGGTACAGATGGCGCTGTGTGTATTAAAATAGATGGTGCTGTATGTCATTTAAAACCAGTCAACGAATTACCTATTTATTGGAAAAATCTAAATAACGCGATATAACCGAATTCCACGCGAGCGGAAAGCTGTTTGTTTGTTTACCTGTCTTAAACGGCAGAACGGAGGTACTAATTAACGTGATTTTTTAACTGAATGTAGTTGAAGGGATGGATAGTCACATAGGCTACTTTTTATCCTTTTGTGACGCGAGTGAAGCCGCGGATAAAAGCTAGTCTGTACAATAAAAAAAATAGTAGGGGGTGTTACTAGATCTAGAGTACAACAATACAAGAAGAGCCATGCCGAATTGGCCGGCTCGACCGGAGTGATACCACTACCTAACATGGAGTTTCTTGCTCGTTCTTCTCCATTCGAATCTAGATTTTGGAATGAGCACCTAGCTTCACCTAGGTTCACTGACGGACTGACTGACAGACTTTATTTTGTATTTGTTGACGTTTTAAAAGTACCAAATTATGGTTTAATTGAAATAAATGCTTTTGTCAGGGATGTTCCGAGAGGCCCAATTCCATATGGTAAAACACTTACGGCATGATGTTTCTAAAACACTCCTTGTGATTTTGTGGATGAGGTCCACTTCACCTTGACCAACATCTTCCGCGAGCGTCTCAACAAACCGCTCAGCGCGTTCTTTGAACAGTTGGAGGTAGTCGTCCAATATGTGCTGCTTGAAGCTTAGATCTAAAATTTTTCGAGTTCGCTTCCATATAGGAACTGGAATGGTTGAAAATATTATGACAATCGAATTATTTTAAGGAATCGGTGATAAACGAATGGTTTAGTTCACTTATTTTAAGTAATAAGCGCTGTATAAGTTTAGTATTGTGTCAACTACAAAACTAATGATAATTTCGAGTAAATCATTGATAAAATATTATAGGCATCTACTAGCTGCAAACGTTGTTTTGCCATATAAATAATTTCGTAGAAGGGTAAAAATTGAGGATTGTATGTATTTTTGTATGTTTTATCATATAGAATAAAAATAAAAAAAATTGTCTAAAAAATAAAAAATAATTTAGGGGTGGACTACCCCTAACATTTAGGGGGATGAAAAATAGATGTTAACCGATTCTCATAGATACCGGATAAGCACAAAAAATTTCATCAAAATCGGTCAAGCCGTTTCGGAAGAGTATGGCAACTAAAACTGTGACACGAGAATTTTATATATTAGACAAGAAAATTACCTTCACCAATGATCAATTTGTCGCCCAACAATGGTTTTGCAAATTTGTACACAAACAGTTTGTCCAAACATTTGTTGAGGATTGTAGAGACATCTTCAGGGTCTGTCACAACTGAAAAATATTTTGTTTGTTATATCTCAGTGCTACGTACAAACCACCGTACCACTACCGTCTATAAGAGGCAGACAATGAAACACCAAATAATGTCACGCTTCCTCTACATTCATTAATATCTTAACACGTGCTCGTCTTTTGAATTTATCGGGTCCTGATACACATCTCACTCCACACAACATATCTCCCTAGAGATAATTTATTCTAACTTGAAAGGCCCAGCGTCAGAGTAAAATACATTTATTTGTTACTTCTACACAATGAAATTGATTTCGTTTTCTTCCCGCGGCAAAACAGCTTAACATAAGGAGTACTTTCGATGTATAAAGTAAAAACAAAACAGAAGGTAAAGACGTAATTTTCTGTTAATAAAAAAAAATCATTGACTTTAGCTTACTAGATGTAAATATTTAGGCACTCGTCGCATCGCTCGTGTCACCCGACGAGCAATACTTCTTCGAGAATTACATGTTTTGATATGAACATATTATGAGTTCATATGCACTTACGAAGTTTACTTTTTGCAATGGTACACCAGTTTTTTTTGCTTTCAACGTTTTATTTCTTTTTAAAAGTATTGTATTATTGAGATAAAGTAATTTAACTTCGGGACGAAAACGAAATTTCACGGTGTATACTCGTTTTATGGCTGTCGTAAGAATCGAATAAGAGCCCATACCTTTGGGCTGCAGCACTCTTATAGACGTAATCCTTATTAACTACCATCTCCCTGCCAGTGCCCTCTTTTGTAGAGGAGGCGCATAGTTCAGTAGTGGACACTAACGGATTGTTGATGTTGATGATGATAATGATAATGAGATCATCATGACCACTGTGCCACTGCCTCCTCTGAGACCACGTGATGAACTCCAAGCGCCCATGGATACGCCATGACTGGGACCGAACCCTTGGATAATGGAAACTTAGACGTTGATGTTTTAAAATATTTTTGATAACATGAGTAACAAACCGTATGCAGTCAAAGGTCCCAAATTAAACCGTACGATATCTCCAATTTTCACCGAATACTCTCCAAAAGCCACAATATTTTGAAATGTGTCTGAAATTAAAATTATTAAATATAATAAGGTCTCGGACTATTTATTATTATTTAGTAGACTATTTATTACTTTTTAAGTATCTATAATTATAACGATGAGGAATATTTTCTTTTCTTTTTCAATTTTTTATAGTTTGATATCATCCTTTGGATGCATATCCTGGTCCATCTCCGTGGAGCCACTTGTTTCATATTCTCCTTAGTTAAATTTAAAATAGTAAGCCAAAGAAAAGTAAAGAATTTACAAGGGTTGTCTGATTTCAGTAGGTATTGCATCACCGTTACGAGTTATAAGTGGTGAAATTGAGACTGAAGATAGCAATGACGCTGCCCAAACTATTATAGAAGCAGTACGACAAGAAGAAGACAGTGAAAGTAAACTGATTTTGGACTTACCTACAGAGGAATAGAATTTGTACGCATGACCAATGAGCGGCCATTTCCCTGGGAATATAGTCACTTGCTCATTCACTGGGAAGTACCACCGACACAGGAGCACATACGCCAAACATATACATACTAACACGATCAATATAGTAACAATCATTGTAGATAATTATGAAATTAATAACATAATATTTTATTTATAAATTTATGTATGTTCACCAGCCGATACATTCAAGGATTGAACCAATATCTCTGATCCACTGTCTTTATAAAGAGATACACGTGTACCCGTGTATTCATGATATCATTGAGCCTATTTCGTAATGAAATAAATATTTTAAAAGAATTTAAAACGTTAATCAAGTTTTTTTATACTTTTAATATTATAATTATGGCTTCGAAGGGCAATATGATTGTAGGTGTCACAACCACAAGTAAATGTGTGTTCATATAAATTGTCAATGTGTGCTTCGAGCGACTAATTAGTTAGAACTTTTTTTAAGGGGGAAATCATCGAATACTGCTTAATGTAGTATAAATTATCATAGTGCCGTTGTTCCCACCATACACAAAGCCGTCTTAGACTACCCTATGGGTCCCGTGGGTCCTACTCAATCATTCGGGGCCCTTTGGAATGTTTTTTTAACGTTGCTCTACAATAAATTTTCTCCAGTATCGTAGGTGCATCTACAAACATACAAGTTCACATAAACATGACTATTATTCCTAAAGTCTATTATTCCTCAACTAGAGGACGGCAATACTGCTGACACTGCTGTAGATACCTAAATCATATAGTAAGGGTTTTTTTTTAAAGGGACAAGCCTGCCACATCCTCCCAAAACCGCTGCAACTCCTGTAAGCCTCTATCTACAGTAGATACAACCATGACAACACCGGAACATTGAAGTCCGGCGCGTCCCAGGGACATGAGTAACTATCTTGGTTCCCGCAACGAAGTGAATCAGAAGATATTATAAGAGAGAAGAAGAAAAAACTATGATTTCCACTTCCCTCGGTGAATTACTGCAGGAGACAGAATGAATTAAGCCTAAAGACACAAAGAAGAGACTGTACAACTGGGTGAAGCCCATATAGTAAGGGTTAAGGTTCCCGAGCGTACGGCTCCGACTAGAATGACAGGAGAAGGAACGGGGTGGTTTTTAGTCAGTAAGAGTCTGACACTCCTTCTCGCCTCACCCAGGCGGGAGCAGTCATTTGCACCCCTTAAAAAAAGAAAAGCTGTTATTTTTAAAAGATACAGTGATACAGCATTAACACGAAAAGTAATTTAAATGTCTTTGTAGCGCGAAGTACAATCAACTAATGTTGCTTCAAAGTTCAACAAAATAAGCAGTCCATTTAAATTTATTTTGACACTACCTAGTGCCCACGGCTTCGTCCGCGTAGAATATGTGTCCTGTTTTATCCCATGGAAACATTCAATCGGGATAAAAACGCTATCACCTATCCATCCCCTACCTGTATACCAAATTTCATCCAAATCCGTTCAGTAGTTTCTGCGTGATTGACAAACAACCAAAGAAAAGAATCTTTTACATTTATTACATTAGTGTACCTAGTGTATAAAATGCAAATGTTCCGAAAGCTTGTTTGGAAATATACCGGTATAATTCCATGTCAGTTTATACTAAGTTTAAAATAAATACATAACATATTCCATTACAAAAAACACTATCGCCTCGTTACACGTTTATCTCGAAATTCTATGGACTATGTCAAAAATAACATACACTTAATCATTATAAACAAAATATGTTAATCGTTTGTACTTAAAATAAACTTCGTATAAATTATGTCAAAAACTATTTATGAGGCCGCGCCGCGGTATCATGCCGGTCGAGCCGATCTGTTTTTACCAAAACGTGACTCTCACGTGTCACTTAAAGTTACGATGTTATTATAAAAAATTTCCCCGACTTACTATATGACCAAATCTATATAAGTACATTATATATAATTCAAAGGTGACTGACTAACTACTTGACATAGTGATCTATCAATGCACGGCCCAAACCACTGGACTGATCGGGTTGAAATTTGGCTTACAGGTAGATGTTATGACGCAAGTATCCGCTAAGAAAGGATTTTGATAATTTCCACCCCCAAGGGTGTAAAATAGGGGATGAAAGTTTGTACGAAACTTTGTCAGTTTTACATCGACCAGGTTGAAATTCGGCATGCAGGTAAATGTTTTGATGTAGGCATCCCATAAGATACGATTCTCATCGAATTTTAAGATTAAGGATGAAAGTTTGTATGAAATTGAAATTTTAAACTGATTGGGGCAGAGACTTTGCATGCACAAAGCTACTGTGACGTAGGCATCTCCTAAGAAAGGATTTTGATAAATTCCACCCCTAATGGAATAAAATGATAGTTTGTATAAATCTTCTTAGCCAATTAATCGAACATCATTGAATCTTTTTCAGTTAAATTCGATAAAACGATATTTTGAAACCTGAGAAACGATGTATGACAGTTGAGAACTATGCGTAAAAACCCCGGTACTCTCTATCTCTTCAAAAGATAGTGTAGGGCCATCTATGTCAGGCAAAAACTCAATATTTGAAAACCAGTCGCCTAATATTTTTTTACAAAACCATCAAAGGTATTAAATACACCGCAAAAAAACAAAAATTATGTATTTAGGAAATATTCAAAGATATTGTTTTTTCGTTCACAAAAATTTAATAATCATCATAAGTATTTACACAATTAAAAGTTAATCCATTTTTATTTAATTTTACGTCTTATATTCGTGGACAGACCTCAATACACTCGTTAAAGTGTAGTCGAGTAAGTACTATACACCTTTATTTATTATGCTACCTAACATAAAAATATAATGGCAAAACTTATTCGACTAATTAATACATAAACACATATTAGGTACTTTCTTACTAAAATTACTCTAAAAATCAGGTAATAACGTACATAACATCACGTCTTTTATCCCCGAAGGGTTATTCAGAGGTGCACATTACGGCACTTAATGCCACTGTACAATGTAATTCTCACTTTTCACTATTTATGTTATGAGTCCCATGTAATAGGGGGTGAGCCGATTGCGATAAACTGGGCACATATCCAGACTCCGTCCTACTACCGAGATTTAAAAAAATCATTAATACTTTGTCCGACCCGGGAATCGAACCCAAAACCCCTTGCTCGGCAGTCGCCTTTGCGACTCGGCCAACGCAGCAGTCAGGCCAAAATACAATTGATTGATTCTAAAATCAAATCTACATATAAAGTTCATTTATTGTTCTAAGTTAAATTATCAAATTGTCGATCTTATAATAATGTGGATAAAGGTTAACTAAAAATCGCGGGTTACTCACGTGAATATACTTTTGTAGGCTGCGCGATATCGCCGCGACCGCGCACGCTGCTCATGAGGAAGAACCCCTCTGTGGTTCGAATCTAGTTGAACTTTTCTCAGTATATTCACGTGAGTAACACGCGATTTTTAGTTAATTTGGATAAAGATTTCAAAAATCATATTACATTTTATCTGTTTGCGAATTTTAGGGTTATTTAATATTTATGGAAACAACTTAATAATTACGTAAATCAAAACGATACGCATGCGTATCAGCATTGTTATCATTAACAATGCTGATGAAAAACGCGATCATTCGCGTACTAACTAGCGAATGATACTTTGATACCGTAATGTGTTAAATGTCGCAGAATGGCGATGGATGTGGTTCATTTACAGTCAGTCAAATTGCTAGGTATGCAGGTGAGAAAAGAGAGTAAGATTGCTTCAGTACAAGGACGGTAGCTATTACAACACTAAATTGCATGCTCTGTAACAAACCCATATTTTATTATACTGAATCAATTTTTATTTTCTAAATAGCTTGGCTGACTGTAGATACACAAGGCGCTACGTCCTCCTCTCGATGCTGACACAGTAACCTGAATCTGGCTTCAGCATGACGTCCAGCTTGAGCCTCACCTTCGTGTGGTCAGCCTTGATCTTGTAACTGCGGACCAAGTGAGCCAGAGTCGTCTTCATAGACATCAGCGCGTACGCCTTCCCTTTATTGAGAAATAGTTTGGAGATTTATGATAAGGAAATCAAGTTAAAACAATTTTGCACAAGCTTAGAAACATTCACGGAATGAATGAATATAGATATTTTAAAAAATGTGTGAATATGAATACATCGTCAGCGAAGTCTTATTTACGCGTTCTATCAAATAAGAAACCGATTATTTGAATTCTGGTTAAAAATTACACTCATTAACTACTTTACTATTTTTCAAAATGATCCACCAGCAGCAATATACCCATAGCTTGTATCTCATGAGTAACACCTTCAATTTCCTGTTCTTGGTTTATCAAATCAAATTAGGAGACAACATAGAGAAAGAAAACACTTATACCTATACACTGTCGTCTCCCGACACTGAAAGCAGCAAACGCATTAGGATTGTCAGGCAGTCTGCCCGGCTCCAACCAGCGTTCCGGTATGAACTCGTTCACGTCTGGGCCCCAGATCGGATGCTTGTGCAGTCCAAACACGAATAGGAAGCAGGTTCGACCAGCGGAGAGGGTGTAGTTTTCTGAAGAATGGGAATGTTTAATATTGAGAAACTTTTAAAAAATACTTTTAAATTTGTCATGTTTTTATAATAACTATCGTGAGACATACTAAATGACGCGGCGACATCGCCGCGACCGCGCACGCTTCTCATGAGGAAGAACCCCTCTGTGGTTCGAAACTAGTAGAGCTTTTCAGTATATTCACGTGAGTAACCCGTGATTTTAGTTAATTTATCTTTGTCTTCGACCTTGACTTTGATTTTATATTAACTCACTCAGTTTAACATCCCTGTCGAGTTTCCTAGCAAGCACTGGTACGATGGTGAATATTCTCATGCTTTCCTTCAGCACAGCTTCCAAGTACACCATCTGAGACAGATCTGTCTTCTCCACGTCTCTGTCACCTCCTAGAACTTCTTGTACCCTGTAATTGTTAAGCAGAAAATATTTAGAAATATGTGTTTTCCAACCAATGAATAACTCAGGATTGTTGTCTTTGAATGTATGTTTTTTAAACAAGATTATTTATTGAAATTTTATCTAGGTATGGCCTTAAATCTAAACTCGCCAAACTTTAAAGTTTATTGTAATTGACCTTAGTAAATATATCCCCATTGTCATCATTATTTAGCCCAGATTTACCCACTGCTGGGATTCATTTTCATCAACAGCCTATAAATGCCCACTGCTGAGCAAAGCCTCTTCTCACACGGAGAAGGTTAGAGCATTAATCACCACGCTTGCTCAATGCGGGTTGGCGATTTCAAACTTATAATTAGAAATTATAAGTCCAGGTTTCCTCACGATGTTTTTCCTTCACCGTTTGTCAGTGGTGTCTAAATAATCTTAGAAAGTACATATAACTCGGAAAAAGTCACATTGGTACTTGCCGTTGGTAGGTTTCGAACCCGCACCCTCATGCATGAGAAGTGGGCGTCTTAAACCTCCGGGCCACCACGACTTTTTACTTTTAATTTTTACTGCTGGGATTACTTTTAATAAATGTCCTTTTGCATGAACTTATTGCAATTCCTTTTCAATATTTGTGAATTTAATTGGACTAATACTTACTCGGCGTAAGCCTTCTCTTGAACCTCAGGATGTGACCCAAGGAGTATCATGGTGAACATGAGCACATTAGCGGAGGTGTCATGGCCGCCGACTATCATAGTGTCCACGTGCTCTCGGATCTCTCTGTCGTTGAATACTCCCTTCTCAAGTGACAGCTCTAAGAGGAGGTCCATAAAAGCTTTGAACCTGGTTCCTAAAAAATATACAGAGCATTGTGCCTTTCGTTTGCCTAAGAGACAGATCATACTTTTCATTCACATTACAATGAGTTCTTTACTAAATCTTAGTTAATCTCAGTTAAATGATGACAAAAGTAGTGGAGTTAGCTTACCAGGTATAATACTTCTCTCAGCGCAAACATTTCCATCGAACTCGGATTTTCTTCTTTGCAGCACCTGAAGTGAATATTATTAATGTAATGAGTATTTTGTTAATTATTGTAATTTTAATCAACGAGAGAAGAAAAGGGGCGCGATACTCTTTTAGATGTTGATTTCATATAAATTTTAATATGAATTGAGCTTTTTCTCTTGGGACAATGAGACCGTTTCATCACATTAATCTCGATGATCAAGTCAACAACAAAAATTTAGAAGTGAAGCTAGTTGCTCATTCCAAGGCTTAGATTCCTATGGAGAAGAACGAGCAAGAAACTCCATAGGTTTCTCTTTTGCAATCAGATTCATAATACAATATTCTTGGTTACATTGAAAATATAACTAGATTGGTACGTTTTTATTAAATTCCTTACCATATTAGACATGTTGTGCAATATCTTCAAACACTCGTCCTGCTTCTTCTTCACGTTACTCCATGCGAAGGTGTAAGGACTGTGCCACCAGAACTTCATGAACCGCTCCACGATGGTGTTCAGGATCACCTCCGTCGCCTCCACGTACTGGCTGTTTAGGTTCGAGTCTGTGAAGTCCACTCCTAACGCTGTCACTGCAACATTGGAGAAAAATAGAAATATAGTATACATGTGGCATAGGCCATTAACGTGTTTCAACCATAATGCGTTGATTTTAAGGAAAATTCTATTCAAGTTCGATGCCTCCGTCCATGTTCAAAATACACAAGTAAAGTATATTCGTTGCCCCAACTACTTCATTAATAAATTTTAATCTAATAATAATATGACAACACACCTCTTATCCCCAGAGGGGTAGGCAGAGGTGCACATTAAGACAATGCCACTGTACAATGTAACACCTACTTTTCACTATTTATCTTATGAGTCTCATGTAATGGGGGTAAGCGTTTTACCATATAGGTACCGGGCACAATTCCAGACTCCGTGCTGCTACTAAGAATTTTTTACTTTAATACTTTGCCTGACCCCGGAATCGGACCCGAGATCCCTTGCCAAGCACTTGCGACCGCTCGGCCAATGAGGCAGCAATATATTTTAATACAAATCATAATCATATCTATCTTACAGCAAATAGTCTCCAGGGCATTATGTCGTGTGTAAGTCCAGTGATCAAAGAGACCCTTCCCAGCCTCCTTCTCCAGTTCCCTCACCAGCTTCCTGGACTGGCTGTTGAAGACTCCCATGAATGTGTCCAGCAGTATCTGACTGAACGCTGGATTTAAGAATTTTCGATGATTCTTCCATATTGAATCTGAAAAAAACAACATATGTTTCATGGAACTATAGCATTAGGTCATTTACTAAAAAACTGCTAACCAGCCCATCCAGCTACCCCGATGACTCATATTTCTTCACTTGATTTTCAACCTCATCATTTAGCCATAAAGTTAAAAATCGAATAAAGTATTATGGTAGCTATACATGCTGGACAAGAGAAGTACTCACATTTCCCAGTGACTAGACCCTCGCCTAGCCACGGTTTAGCGAAGTCGTAGAAGCCGTCCTTCTCCAAGCACGTGTTCGCTATAGTGAAACTGTCGTCCGGGTCCGTTACAACTGGAAAATATATTATATATCTTAATATTCATTTTTAGAGGAAATATTTGTATTCTTGTACCATAGTAGGTACAGACATAATTATAAGTTAATTATAATATATCAATATGGAATATGTATCAGAGACATTTTAGAACAAACTTTTTTAAAAAGAGTAACGAACGGAGTTTCTTGCTCGTTCTTCTCCATTCGAATCTACATTTTGGAATGAACACCTAGCTTCACCTAGCTTCACTGACGGACTGACTGACAGACTATTATTTATTTTGTATTTGTTGACGTTTCAAAAGTACCAAGTTATGGTTTAATTGAAATAAATGCTTTGACTTTGACATTGAATTATACTCACTGTACACGGTGCGTGGTCCAATGCTGGCCGACACCACTCCTCCAATGTCGTAGCTCTGTCTCGCTAGATCATTGATGCCGTCCCATAGTTCTGCGAATGACATAGATTTATAAAAATGTTGCCCAAAACCAGAATTATTTCATATTTCCTGACATCATACTCAGGCCAAGAACAATCTTTGTGAACCACAAAACTACATGTTCTATGTTGACCTGCAGTATGTCACCCAGCTGTGACCTGTCCCACTACGGCTGGCCATTTTACGCTACGTTACGTAGCGTAGTCCCAGCAGTCATACATCATGGTTGTATATTGTGGCAGTGTTTTAAATTAATAACACTAAGCTTCTCACTATCAAACTCACAAGTAAAGACCGAACCTCAATAAGAACCTCTTCTATAAAAGAAACATCAGCTACCCCAAATCCCCATTCTAATATTTTAACATAACATAAAATAACATCTACTACTAAGATTTTTTTTAAATCGAGAGCCCTTGGCCGGCAGTCGCACTTGCGACCACTCGGTCAACGAGGCAGTCATGATGAGATGAGATCTAATATTTTTATAATTTTTTTAACTTACTACAACTATCTCCAAGGAGTTGTGGTGCATGTCCCACGATGGGCCATCCTCCCGGGAAGAAGGGTGGCTCGGTGGCTTTACGCATGCGTAGCCACGCCCAGTACGCGGCGCACGCGATGCACACTAACGCCACCGCGAACATTCTCGATGCTTCAGCTTTTTTCTAGTTGCTGGAAAGGAGTGAAATATTTCTATGACGAACATGGTATCTATCGCTTAAATTAGGGTGAGTTCAGTCAGTTCCTTTTTACTATTATTTCTATCATGTGCACTACGGTTATGTGTGTTAAGTTAATAACCACACTCTTTTTAATCCCCTAAAGGGTAAACACCCATTAGGTCATACCAGTTGATATATAAATTTCATGTACTGGGTGGTGAGTGTACTGCCACACAACAGACACAGTTCCAGACATCACTCGTATTACTGAGAATCAAAGTCAAAGTCAAAATCATTTATTACAATTAGACCAGGAGGTCTAATTTTGACTTTTGAACATCAACAATAAATTAAAGTGAAGCTAGTTGCTCATTTCAACGTGTAGATTCCTATTTAGAAGAACGAGCAAGAAACTTAATAGGTTACTCTTTTTCAATCAGGTTTACAATACAATTTGTAGTTACACAGTTTTGTTTTGGTGCGTAACCTTTTTTTTTATTATTTTTGAAGGGGGGAAAATCATCGAATGACTTCTCCCACCTGGGTGAGGCGGGATAGTGTCAGACTCTTACTGATTAAAAACCACCCCGTTCCTTCTCCTGCACATCGAGCCCGAGCCCCGGTAACCTGTTAGGTTCTCCGCGACTCTGGGTGCGTAACCTGGGATTGGAACCCTAGACCTTTTGCTCGAAAGCTTCATTTGGGACTACTATACCATTGAGTCATAAGCAGAGCATTTCAGCACACAAAATTTCCTAATTTTGAAGTAACATAATTCTAACTAAATATTATCTACTTGATTGCAACAGGATCAGATTGCACGAAGGTAATTTTAGAAATATTATCAAGTTACAATTCAATTAGTAACTACGTGTACGTCACAGAATAGAAAACCGTCTCCTTACCTAATAATAATATTATGTACTTTAATTTATTAATGTCACATCACATTCACTCAAATTATTTTCTTAATCGAAGAAACTCGATCATAATTTCCCATGCAGAGTTCCTGTTGTCTCTAAATTCGCTACCCCTATAATACATCAGCTATCTACTAATTGAAATATGTATTAACATTTCAACTTTCGTAACATAACTTGACGAGGAACTCGATTAGTTTCAAGCCATTTAAAGGTTTATATTCATGAGCGACATTCCACGACCCGTGACGCGGCGACTGTCACGCTGCTACACAGCAACTAGTCGAGTTCTTCGTCAAACAGTTATGTGAGTAAGCCGAAAACATAATAATTAATATGTATTTAATTTGCATGAAACATATAAATCCGTTCATTAAACAATCATCAATATTTATACACTTCAATATATTTACCACAGGAACACTTTATTAACTCCCGCACTATATTAAAACCACTACAATTATCAAATCACTTCACTAAACACAATCCACAACACTTATTACCTTTTAATAGAGTTGATAATCCAACTTAACACGAAATAACATATAAGGAATTATACATTAATTGCTAATTGTGTTTCAACCGCTACTGTTCTACTAACTGAATCAGTTGACTGGACGTGAGAGTGGTTCTTACCTTACGTCCTGTGTTTCGTCAGCCACTATAAGTTTTCCAAATAGTTTGATATCCCTATTACACCGGGTAAAGGTATACGACTGCACTGCCATTGCCTAAGACATGCTATATATCTGAAGGGCAAGCAATCATGCAGGGCTGTGCCTAGCTAAGTTTGTTGATTTAAATACTGTTGTTCCTCGTATACCTTATTACCTTGTCGCGGAGAACCTAACGGGTAACCGGGGTTCCGGCTCGACGTGCAGGAGAAGAAGGAACGGGGTGGTTTTTAGTCAGTAAGAGTCTGACATTCGATGATTTTCCCCCCTTGAAAAAAATACCTCATTACCTAATTGAGTGGACCTTGGAAAGAAGGATTTTTTGATTTACAAAATTCTCAATAATGACGATGAGCCCTGAAAACTAATTTTCTTTTTGCTTGAAAGCTTGCCTCAAAGGTTTTAACTGAAATTCGGCTTATAATCATCAAAATATAAATATACTTGTTTTCCCAAATGACCGTTTTTCGCCTAATATAACAATTTATGCGGTATAAACAATCCCACGGTTCACTTCTCATTATTGTAATTACTTCTGAATTAACTACTCATAAAACATAGGTAGGTCAAAGTCAAAGTCAAAGTCAAAATCATTTATTTCAATTAGGCCAGAATGGCACTTTTGAACGTCAACAAAAACAAAAATTTAAAGTGAAGCTATTTGCTCATTCCAAGGCGTAGATTCCTATGGAGAAGAACGAGCAAGAAACTCCATAGGTTTCTCTTTTTCAATCAGGTTTACAATACAATTTTCAGGTACTTCATAAGAACTAATGTTTCAATGACACAAACATTTTATAAATTTGTTTCGATAAACAAATAAATAGAAAACAAATCTTGTCCTAAACCAAACAATAATTCAAGAAACACACATAACATAACATCACGCCTTTCATCCCCGAAGAGGTAGGCAGGGGTGCACATTACGGCACTTAATGCCACTGTACAATATAACACCTACTTTTCACTATTTATGTTATGAGCCCCATGTAATAGGGGGTGAGCCTATTGCCATATACCGGATATATTGCACAAATTCAAGGAACTTGAATAAATTACTCGACCCGAGAAAGCCTTCCGCTGTAACCCTGGTCGTGTATGCACAAACCTTGCGCCACATATATATGTTGGAGCATTTTTTCAGTTTCCTAAAGTTAATTAAAACAATGATCACACTTCCCCTTGTGAATGCAGTTTTTGCAGCGAATGTGTATCAGTGCGTGTAATGTGGCGTGGATCATAACGTGCCCGCATTGGCCGCTATCTAGCCTTATTTATGCTCTTCTTTATTATCCTAATTAATGTTTAATACTTGTACATTGATCTAGTATAATTGGAGGTTAGATTAATTGGTAAGATTGGATTTAGTTAAGCATTCAAATATGTAATCTTCTTTACGACCTCTAGCTAGAATTTTGTCCACCATATCGCCGAGCCGTCGGCATCGTCTTGAAAACCGACGTGAAACAACGCTTGCGTTGTGTTTGTCGTGTGAGTGAAGTTATCGGAAGCCCAATACCCTCTCCTTAATTTCCCCAATCAACATAAGGTTGGCAACGTACTTGTAAAGCCTGTGGTGTTTCAGATGTCCATAGGCGGCGTCGATCGCTTAACATGAAGTAAGCCGTCTGCTCGTCTACTGGCTTATGAATTGTAAAAAATTGGAGTTATGCCATAGGCATACCAGGGAACTGCTGGATGCAGGTCGCTGTCACCCGATTGAGCTGGAAATCATTGCATAGAGTGGCTTACGTTCAGTAGTAGCGGACGTCTTGTGGCGGATATGATGATGAAGCGTTGCTATTTATACACTTTTTACACACGCACACTCCCCTACTTGTATAACTTTTCTGTCAATTGTCAGTCTAAAGTAATATTTATACAAGTTCATATACACATGACACAACATTCCGTGGATCACACAAAGAGTTGCTCCGTGCGAGAATAGAACCCGCTACCTGTTTCGCGGCAATCGCGCCAATCGTACAGTCAAATCAAATTGAATGTATCATAAGTATGTTAAACTTGTACTACTTTATGTATCAGAATGTGTTCATACATTGTCCTGACCTGGAGACCTCGTTGTTCAAGAGTATTCGACTGTGACTGCTGGACACGAGGGCCTTACACATCCTCACATCCTGGCTCCAGTAGACTTGTACATACTTACCTAGGACAAATTAATATTCAACATTAGGAATAAAAGATTCTCCGAAACGGCTACCTGCCAAAGATTTCCGAAGATGTAATTGGACCTCCGGTATCCTCACTCACACGACGAAACACAACGCAACCGTTGCTTCACGTCGGTTTTCTGTGAGGCCGTGGTATCACTCCGGTCGACCCTGCCCATTCGTGTCGAAACATGGCTCTGCCAGAATTACCATCTCTTAATTAAGTGTTACGTAGCGTAAGAAAGCATCTAAACCAACCCCCTTGTATTTTAAGCGTCACTTATAGGTTGGTGAGAAAAGAATTTTTTTTCACCTATCTTAGCTTAGAGATTCTCATATAATAACATAACATCATGCCTTTTATCTCTGAAGGGGTAGGCAGAGGTGCACATTACGGCACTTAATGCCACTGTACAATGTAACACCCACTTTTCATTATTTGTGAGTTCCATGTAATAGGGTGAGCCTATTGCCACATACTGGGCCTAATTTCAGAATTCGTGCTACTACTGAGAATTTTTTAAAAACTCCAGTATTATATTGCCCGACCCGGGAATCGAACCGGAGACCAGTGCCAAAGAGGCAGTCTTAGGGATTCCTGGTTGAGAAAATAGTAAGAACGGGCAAACACTAAGCTTAGGTTATAGTGCTGGTACCTACTAAACCAATGAGGCAACACCAAATAGGCACCCTAAAACAATCAAACCAAATGACATAGCGATGACGAAACCGATAATTCGCTAACAATACCTCATATATACTAATAACAGATACTTACTGGCTGTTAGTTTGTAGCTGATATAATTAGGAAACACTAGTAGTATTGTGTGCAGTTGTAATATCCTATACATTGCCCTGGAATTGGATGTGTGTTGTAATTTATGACTGAGTAATGCACTTTCAAATAATGTGCACTTGTTGGGTATATCCGATTTCTATTACTCCCTATTGGGAAATTAACGAGTTGCTAATAAATGTTTGTGTAAGTCTTTAAGACCCGAATACTAGAATCCCCAAGCCTCACAACTTAGTTTATTGTGTAACTGTGTAATATTAAATAGTACGTAATAGCAGTATCTATGTATATCCTAAATCGCATATTCTTTTGAACTCATTTCTTTAAATATATTTAAAAATGTTCACATCCTTAGCTTTATAGATTTATTTATTAACATTTCCATTTTACGAAATGTGTTTTAAAATATTTAATTTTGTTTTAAAAGTTCTATTAAATGTCTTTCATTTTATGTTCCTTTAACATAATAATGTTGATTACGTAAGTAGTCGTTTTTGTTTTTTCATTGGACACGTATTTTTTATTTTCTTACAGAAACGAATACTTTCGACGATATATAGATTTGAAACGTCGTGTGACGTCACTTCTCTGTACATTTTATACGTGGAAATTACGTTTTAGCCCCCACTCCTAAACTTTGATTCGTTTTATCTAAGTATTGTTTTATTATACTGCCTCGTTGGCCGAGTGGTCGCAAGTGCGACTGCCGGGCAAGGGGTCTCGGGTTCGATCCCCGGGTCGGGCAAAGTATTACTGGGTTTTAAAAAAAAATCTCAGTAGTAGCACGGAGTCTGGTATTGTGCCCGGTATATGGCAATAGGCTCACCCCCTATTACATGGGACTCATAACATAAATAGTGAAAAGTGGGTGTTACATTGTACAGTGGCATAATGTGCACCTCTGCCTACCCCTTCGGGGATAAAAGGCGTGATGTTATGTTATGTTGTCTTTTATTGTATAATAAAAGACAACATAACATAACATCACGCCTTTGGTCGTATGACCAAATAAAAAAATACTTGTCTAATATTTTTTCATTACCTAACTGGCGGACTCATTAGATTTTTAATTTTCATACCCTGGCATCATCCCAATTACTTGAAATGTGATTATATACTTGCAATATCGCGCGATTGTACCGATCTTAATGTCAGCAAAATATCTATGTACCGTTGAAGACTGTCGCGGAGAACCTAACGGGTAACCGGGGCTCCGGCTCGACGTGCAGGAGAAGGAACGGGGTGGTTTTTAGTCAGTAAGAGTCTGACACTCCCTCCCGCCTCACCCAGTCATTCGATTATTTTCCTCCCTTAAAAAAAGCGTTGAAGACTGTAAGTACAACATAATTAGGTATAATGAGTAGATGCTGTGTGTTTTCCAAGTTAGAAATTGTCAATTCGAATACAGCAGTAGCTTTTAATTGTTTTTAACCGAATTTAAAACAATGGAAGTTCTAAGTTTGACCTGTATATATGTATGTATGTATGTAAGTTTGTGCGAGATTATCTCGAGATTAACTGAACCGATTTTGATGTGGGTTTCAGACAAGTGTTTGTTACACTCAGGAGAAGGTTATAGTACATTTTAATTAACTGGTTTCAAATAAAGAGAGGGTGTTGAAATCGGTTTTGTTGAACGTAGTCTATAAAATAATTATTCAATCTCATTTCGAATGTTTAGTGTGGGAGTAACCATGGGAGTTAAGTTTTAAGGCGGCTGCTGTTTTTTAAGAGTCGTGGTGGCCCGGCCCGGTTCTAAACCAACTAACGGCAAGTATCAATGTGACTTTTTCCGAGTTATATGTATTTTCTAAGATTATTAAGACACCACTGAGAAACGGTGAAGGAAAACATCGTGAGGAAACCTAGGTTTATAATTTGTAATTATAGTTTTGAAATCGCCAACCTGTATTGAGCGTGGTGATTAATGCTTAAACCATCTCCGTGAGCGAAGAGGCCTTTGGTCAGCAGTGGTCACTTATAGGCTGTTGATGATGATGATGATGCTGTTTTATAGCTTCATTTTGAAGGAAAGTATTAAAACTAATTTACGGGTGGGTAAGAGTTTTATATTTGTACATTGCTGTGTTGCGTACACACAAATTTAAGTATATTCATATCTACAATCACAACAATACACAATAAAACAGAGAAGAGATCATTTACAAATTAAATCAAGACAATACTAAACACTGAGAAGTGGTAAAACAAACACTAAAACTAAACAGAAAAGTACAAAATGGAATACAACTAAAATAAATTGCAAAATATAGAAGAGATAGCCATCATGAAAGGGCTTGTTACTTCGTTACTTCACAATATCGAAATAATAAATAGTAAAAGTGACATTTAGAGGCGGTACTCCAATTAGATGATAGATAACTACAAGGTAAATATCTTATAAACTAAAATACTTGCAAAACATTCTTTGGTATAATAATTACCGTTTTATTATGACATGAAGAACGGAATTAATTATTATGTTTTAGACTTACTCACGTAATTATTTGACGAGGAACTCGACTGGTTTCAAGCCATGCTAGAGGCTCATATTTATGAGCAGCATTCCGCCACAATCGCCGCGTCGTCGTGTGTCCTGGAATGCTGCTCCTAAATATTATGAGCATCTGATGAAACTAGTAGAGTTCCTTGTCAAACAGTTCGCGTAACTGTAAGTCGAAAACAAAATAATTAATTTAGTATGTCTCACGAAAGTTATAATATAAACATGAAGAACAGAAACTGTTTAACATTAATACTAAATTCTGTATACTAAAGTTCAGGACTATAGATAATTCTGCTTAATTTCATACACTGCTTTCGTGGTGGGACCAGTTTGCAACTAGACAATGCGTCTGCGTCTTATAAAGGTACATTACACACAGTAAGCGAAATAACATTTACTCCAACTTTATCAAATTAAGCGGAAAACATAAACCCCTCTTCTGAAGTAATCGAATAAAAACTGACGCGATAATATAACACCATTTCACTGTCATATCATCTTTAACATCAACAAAGACTATAGAACAGTCTCCAAGTCTTCATATTCCAGTACGACTCCTCAGTCCGCCCTAATTAGCAATTGGTACAGGAATACTGCTAGGGCTCTGGTAGTAGTGAGGAGTTTCGTTGAGCGTGGTGGCTCCGATGACGTCACCGCCGGCTACCAGCAGGAGCCTCCTCTTGCGATGATGGCGTAGCAGTGACGTCACGCTCGCGAAGCTCTGCTCCCCGCGCCGAGGGAAGCCGAGTGCCAGCCGACCGTCCGGTCTGCGGCGGACGCCGACGTTGTGGACTGCGTTTGAGCACGCTACACTTAGAGTGTACGCATGGTCAGGCTGGAATAGGTTGGAAAGAAAATATACATAGAATAATTTTCTTTAGAAAGTTCGTACGTTAAACATTGATTAGAACTGTTTGATTTAAAGTAACTTGAACTGCGTCTAAAAGAGATGACATATTAAAAAAAAACGTTCTATACTGATCGGTTCTCCGATCTCAAAGAATTAGGTCTTAGTTCCAAATCACCCAATTCTGCAGAATGGTACGACAGCATTTATTTCGGTAATTACCAATATAGTACGACAATGTTTGACGAAATGTTTACTGTAGTAGTTCTCTCTACAAGTTCATCAAAAGGAAAATCTTAGTTACCTGACTAGACGGCCTCAATATAAAGGTGCCATCGGGCTGTCCCTTCAACAAGTTGATGGCCTCTGCCCGGTCCACGTTCATGTAATAAGGCTCGTTCTCCACCGGCACGGGCAGTGGTCGGTCAGCCATATTCGTCCCACCAGACTTGCGGGATTCCGGCCATTTGCGGGCTGCGTCCTCGCTCGGTGTGCTCTCAGCTTTATGAGACTCTGCTTCTGATTCTTCTGATGGATGGTCGTCATTTGTTTCTGGAATAGTTTGAAGTAGTTGGCATTAAGTTAGAAGTTTTCGGAACGAAATCGTTGCTAAGGAATATTTTAAGTAATTATTAAATGTTTGAGTTATTCTAAATATTCTCTGCATCTCTAACATATTGTGTTTACACAACTAGGTCTCGTACCTGCAACCACATCAGTAAGGCAGTGCACGACATGGTAGAACTGGTCCACCACGGTGGTGCCGACCCTGGCTCCGAGGTTATATATCAGAGGCACACTCACTTTCAGCCACCAGCACATTTTTACAACACTAGCATTTTTTTATTAAATAACCTACTTGTCTAAAGCATTTCACAAATTAGTCAAAAACTCTATGAATCACACACTAATGTTTAAACCTAAAAAATCACTCTATACACTAATGAGAACTGCATCAATATCTGTTCAGTAGGTTTTGAGTTTAACATGAATGAAGTAGAAAGATGCGGTGGCAATCTTTGTTTCATAGCGTATCAAGAAACAACTAAAGATATTTGTGTTGAATTATTTTGTACAGAATACGCTGTGCGTGTAAAATTTCATCAAAATCTGGTCAGCTATTACGAGCTTACTTAACATGACACAATGTTACATGACTGAAACTTATACAGCTTAACTCTATTTTAGTACAGACTAACTGTTGCCCGCGACTTCGTCCGCGTAAAATATGAATTTTAGAACATAACTTTTTTTGTTTCAATTTTCCAAAATAAAAGTAGCCTATGTTTACCTGATGAGCTACCAACCCATAAAAGTTTTACAAAATTGGTCAAGCCTTTCCAAAGATCAGCCAGTACAAACAGACAGACAGACAAAAATTGTAAAAAACGTTGTTTTGGTATGTGTATCGTACCTATGTATGTTTATATGCATTTAGTTAAAAGCAGTTATTTTAATATAACAAACAGATACTCCCAATTTTATTTATCTTTATATAGATGTATAGACTACTTCGTTGACCTACACCTTGGAATGAGCAAATAGCTTCACTTTAAAAAATAATTGTTGACATTCAAAAGTGCCCGAAATAAATGGTTTTACTTTGACAATTAGCCTAATCATAACAACGAAAGTCCTACACTGAAAGGAATAGGATACTAAGGGGTTCTGAAATTTTATCTTTTCAATGAACCTTTGTCTAACAAAAAAGTTCCATAAGATAATACAAATAAGCTTGCAAAACGTAAGCTCTAAATATGAGTGTGACTTAACGTGTGAAGTTCAATTAGTATCAATTGTGTGATATGTCACGTTAGTCATATAATGAGTCATCGTCTCGACCGTCGCAGTCTGTCACTATTCAATTACACTTACAAGTATGAAGTTTATCTAGATACTAGCAACTTGCGCGCGGTTTCACCCGCTCTGCTCGGCTCCTATTGGTCGTAGCGAGATATTTTATAGCCTATAGCCTTCCTTGATAAATAGACTATCCAACACAAAAAGAATTATTCAATTCGAATCAGTAGTTTCGGATATTAGCGCGTTCAAACAAACAAACAAAAAAACAAACTCTTCAGCTTAATAATGCATCTATGGTCAGTCGTAAAACATAATAATAATCATGTGGAACATAGATTTGTGTCGTGAAAATCTGTATTTCATTTACGGAACTAAAGCAAGGAACTTATTGGTTCATGAATCTGAAGATTGATTCTAAAATCAGTTTTATGGCTTTTATTTCTACACAGACAAGCTTCTCCAAATTAGCTCCTTATCTTCTATCAATTAGAGCGCAAAATTGAACTAGATACTGTTTTTTTATTTTGTGACGATTATAATTGAGCGATTATAAATAGCGGTAGGTACTATGAACCATGAGTACAGAAGTTTACGAGGAAACCAATCATTGCATTTAGATAAAATTTACCACATAAATAGACCCTGACTTTTACAGAATATTTTTTTCACAAGAACTTTAGTATTGCACAAATTTTTAATTATCAAGAAACCTATGTAACTTTTACACTTTGGGAATCACTTTTACACAACACTTTGCAGTATCCATTTTTACATCTCACCACTATAATATAGCTAAGATAATAATTATAATAAGATAATAATAATAAATAAAGAATGAATGAAAGTTAACACAAGCTAAGTCTGGTGTCACTCCGGCTCTAATAAGGAGTAAACAAATAATTGTTCCACGCCACCATGGCTTTTTTATTTTGATAAACACTCGTTTGATACCGCAGGGCTGCTTGCATGTGAAAGTTGTATCGACAAGAAAAATCGGGAATGGTTTTGTGTTGATCTAAAGAAAGTACACCTTTTTTAAAACTTGGCAACGCATTATTAACTCCTTAGGTGTTGCGAGTGTGCTGTCCATAGGTGGCGCTGATCACTAATTGTAAATTCAAAACTAAGAGTTTACATATTGACACTGTGCTAAGAATTCTTAAAGAAATGGCATTGTCATGCAGTACAGAATTCGACAAACAAACACATTTACAGAATATAGTAGATGTGAAGCAATCAAATAATACAGGCGCAGTCAATCTTTTATCGATACCGATAACTTTCACTGATAACAAAATCGATGAGATTTTCCTGTAACTCAGATTTTGGTAACAACCATTAGGTCATGCCTACTTTAGTCATGGTCATAAGGTGGACTGGAGTGATACCACGGCCTCACAGAAAACCGACGTGAAACAACGATTGCGTTATGTTTCGTCGTGTGAGTGGGGTTACCGAAGGCCCAATTACCCCCCTCCCCAATCCCCCAATTCTGAAAAATCCTCAAGTTATTATACCTCAAACATGCTATCCACCCTGAAATTACGAACTAAAGCATTTTTGACAAAACTAAAAAAATCTCAATGTAGCCGACTCTATAAATCGTCATAAAAAACACACAGAGATCCCTTTTTATCGATACCCCGCGGTACATCTCTACACACATGTCACATTCCCAACACGTGTTCAGCAATTAAAAGAAAAAAAGTGATGAGAAAGTGTATCCCGCCCAGTACCATCCTCCTCAGATACCTCATAAATATTCATTGTGTTTGATATTTTTACGTAAATGTACAATTCTAGTATTAAAAAAAACGTTGCCTCACATTAGGATTTTCTCCTGTGTCGTGGGTGCGTTTACAAACATACAAGTTCACATACACAATGACACCCAGACCCGAAACAACAATCTGCAGATCACAAAAAGTGTTGTTCCGTGCGGGAATCGAACCCGCGACACGTTGCATGGCAGCCGGTTGCCCAGCCCCCACGCCAACCGTGTCAACCAAGCAGGTTTGCCAGCAATTTGTCCCGCGTTATATGGGATATTTTTTTATGGAATTGGAGGCAATCGAGCAGACAAAACATTTAATGTATCTACGGTCTGTCTTATTCCAAACTACAAGCTATTTATCTACGAAAATAATTCAGAACCGTTTAGTAGTTTTTATTTTCGTGCAATATCTACGAGTCACAGACATACACACAGGCATAAACTATAAACAGACTTAACCCTTTTGGTATGAAGCGCATTTAGGCCTTATTTTTAAACGAAATTGTGCTCTGTCCTCATTTCTATATCACCGGGTCACACATTCGAGCATTAAGCAGCTGCATCGCTGCACAAGGTCAATTATCAAATAAGCTGACTGCTTTAATATAATAACTGATGACCCGTTTTCGCAATTGAGTTATTTTGTAAATGCTCCAAACACCGCTGTTGAAAATTTGTGACTTTTCCTAAACTCCTAAATCATTTTAAAATGAAATTTTTACACAATATACAACCTTATAAGAAACATACATACGTCTCGCCACAGTTACATTATGCACGAACTATAATCGTAGGTAATTATAATGTACCAATTTCCTCATCGATATCTCTATTTCTCTGAATTGTGAAGGTCGAATTGCAAGCGATATCCAATCTGAATTACATGTGATTGCTTGATAATTAAAGTAACGTCTTTCTTTATAATTAAAGTCTATAATTATAACATTTATCTTATTGCAGTCTAAATTTACAAATCTGCTACTTACTTATATTAATGAAATTTTCCTTATCTTACCTATAAAGAAGGGCCGAATTAAAAGTACCCTTAACCAACGAGCATGCATGTAAAGACTGATGACTGTCGAGTAAGCGAAAGAGGTATGTAAAACTCGTAGCAATCGGCGTTCCATAGTCTCTGCCTGAATGTATGTATGTATTCTTACCTCTTCGAATCCCGAATCTGTTCTCGAAGATGCTGAGTATGTACCCCAGTAGAGAGTCATCCTTCTGTTTGTAGTTCACATCACAATAGTCTTTATTTAGCTGCACTGGCTCTAGGTAATCTTCTACTGGGATCTTCGTCTAGTGCAGAAGAAAATAATGTAACTTCTATAATTAAAGTAAATGCATTAGCTCTGTGAATAACACTTACTTGATTATTCACTTCGTCTTCAACAGGTCTAATAACATGTACCGAGTCGTACATATTAGCAACACTGTCGTTCTCATAAATATTCGATGATTTCTCACTCTCTATATGTCTAGGACAATCCTCCAACATTTCATGTTTCTTAAAAAAGGGCACTTTGAATGATTGAAACAGTTCTTGGATCTTAACTATACAAGGTTTAACACTAACTACTCTTTGTTCCACTGGCTTATCTTTGTCTTTGTCAACTTCATTGTAACACAAGTCTTCGTAGAAATGATCTTCTGGACATTTTTCACTGAATTCCTCTGGAGTCGATAGCGTTTTATATTTAGTTCTAGAATCAGATTTCTTGTAAGACCTAGCTGTGTAATATCTGCTGTTCCTCTTCATGGCGTAGTACCCTCTGTCGTTTGAACTTTCTTGTCTGGAGAATCTCGCCCTTATGTCGAAGAAAGGATACTCATATGAACTGAGTCTGAAAAGTTTCTTTTTCTTAGGAGTGCCAGCATCCATAGGCAGGTACGAAGGTGTTCGTTCAGCCTTTTGTTGGTTTCTGTATAGAAAGCTCTTGGCTGGTACAATTCTTCTGATTAATTCTTCGACTGTGCTCATCGAGTGAGTTTGTGCATCACCATCCTTTCGCCTGTGCGTGACTGTTTGGTACTGGCTCTCGATATCCTGTTTGTCGCAGATATTTTGTGTATGTATGTTTGTTGTTGTTGTTTCTTTGAAATCCATTTTTTCCGTTGTTATGTTATCGTCTTTGTTTTCTAAATATTTCTTTGGATTCAGTTTCATGTCTTCAATGAATGTCATGAATTTCTTTGCATTTGCTTTTGGTCTCCATAGCTTCACGATTCCTTCGCTGACATCCTGGACATAGGTCATTCAAATGATTAATGTAATATACTATGTTAATAAATTGTAGTAATAAAATGACCTCTTATTTATTTATTGATAGTGAACAGTATCGGCCGAAAGTCCTTTGGAGCCGATTACTTGAAATAATACGAAGTACCTCAGAGCAAGACAATTTATTTACGTCAAAGCAGACAACCTAATGTTTTGCCGGTAACGAAACCATAGCTTGAATTTAAATCGGCCAACGCCATCTATCGAGCTATGGGACAACACAATAAATAGTAGTATGGCGTTGGCCGAGTGCATCTTTTAAACAGATTATTTCTACACTGAACATTCCGCCCACCAAAAGGAATATATTCCTTTTCGTACCGCCCACCATGCATAAACTTAACAACTAGGAGAACAGTGGACTGTATGACAATTATATTACTATATTACGAATAATACATCGAGATAGATCTAGTGGACGGCTTCTTTTAGCAGACATTGGCGCGGACAGATATGGTTCCAATCAAAATGAATAGATATAAATACAAAAACATTAATCTGGGTGACGAAATTCTTGATACCGGCAAAAATATCAGGTTGACAAAATTCTGACAAAAACAATATAACTAAACTACTAACTAAACATTGTAATCAATACATGACAGTGCACAAGAGTAAGAGACATTGTTTTCAACAGTGCAGTATAAGAAAATAACATAATAAAACCTTATCTAAAAACATACGCAACTTAAACAATTAAATCTACAAGATTTTGTGCCTTATTCAGTAACAGGAAGAAAACACAATTTTGAAATTGGACGTTTAATCATAGAGCCCTTACAACGAACAGTGACAACTCGCGTCAAGTTATCTCTACCCGGATGCAGCTCAACAATTCTGCCATACAACCATTTAGCTGGAGGTAAGATATCTTCTTTTATTAAAACTACATCACCTATTTTACAGTCAGGTTTACGAACATTCCACTTATGCCTTTGAAAAAAGTTTGTTAAATACTCCTGTTTCCATCTACGCCAAAAGTGCTGCACCATACGCTGTACTAATTGCCATCTGCGTAAAGTGCTAACTGTGACACTTTCATAGTTGTAGTCAGGAACCATTACCAATGGATGACCCACCAAGAAATGACCCGGAGTCAGAGGTACAGGATCCTCTGGATCACTACTACCCTGAGACAGGGGTCTAGAGTTTAGGCATGCCTCGATTTGGGAAAGTACTGTGGACAGTTCTTCGAACGTCAAAGTGGAGTCACCTATCACACGCTTCAAGTGGTGTTTTACACTTTTCACCCCTGCTTCCCACAACCCACCAAAATTAGGAGCGTGAGGAGGGATAAAATGCCATTCTGTTTGAGAGTTTGCAAGAGCAGCTGCAATGTCTTTGTACATCGAACTCTGTTGGTTGAAAAGTATCTGCAACTCTTTAGCAGCGCCCACAAAATTTATACCATTGTCGCTCCAGATATGACGACAGTGACCGCGCCTAGAAACGAACCGTTTGAACGCTGCCAGGAAACCCTCAGTCGTCAAATCTGAAACAACCTCTATGTGTACTGCGCGCGTAGCCATACATACGAACAAACAGATGTACCCCTTATACGACCGCTGTCCACGACCTTTGGAGACTCTAATGTGAATAGGGCCTGCATAATCGACACCGGAGTTCAGAAACGGCTTACTGGGAGTCACTCTGCAAACCGGAAGTTCTCCCATAAGCTGTTGATTCGTGGTCGCCGAGTATCGAATACAGCGAACACAACGACGTATATAAGCTCGTACAATATTTTTAACCCGACTGATCCAGTACTTGATGCGTATAAAATTAAGTACCAGTTGCTGTCCTCCATGAAAGGTCCTTTCATGAGCGTCGGCTACAATTAACTTAGCCAAACTTGAATCATGAGGAATAACAACTGGGTGCTTTGTATCATCAAGTAATGGTGAATACCGTAGCCTTCCTCCAACTCGCAAAATCCCACATTGGTCGATAAATACATTCAACTTATATAAAGAACTCGACCTTTCCAATGGACTCTTCTTTTTCAGGGCTGTCAATTCAGCCTGAAACCATTGCTGTTGGCTTTGTTTGATACATACATTCAACGCTTTGTGAATTTCGGAAGCTGACAGGTATTTTGCAACCTTAATATTCGCTTTACGAAGTTTTAATGATTGCAAAAATCTTTTACAATACGCAACAACTCTCACCAAACGTGAAAGTGATGAATACTTAGATCCCCAAATGACTTCAAAATCAGGCACTACGCTGGCAGTGTGAACATTAACTTGCTTTAACTCCTCATTAGTATGAATGGCACTAGGCCGGGTGAAGTCTATCTGAGCATTCCTTAACCAAAGGTCCATGTTTCCAAAGATCATCACCAAGGAGAAATGCTGAAGACACTCCCCGGGAAGCTATATCTGCTGGATTTTCTTTAGATTTAACATAAGCCCACTGTGAATTGTCTAGCAAACCAAGAATCTCAGAAGTACGATTAGCCACGTAAGTTTTCCATCGACTTGGATGATCATTTAACCAGGCCAAAACAACTGATGAATCCGTCCAAGCATGTATATTTGCCTTAGGAATGTTCATTACTTGAGCTACATCAATCAATAATTTTGCTACTAAAACAGAACCGCACAACTCCAGCCGTGGAATGGATATTTGCTTGATGGGAGCTACCTTTGTCTTTGCGGTTATGAGGTGCGAGTGTATTTGCCCATTAGCATCGACAATGCGACAATACACCACAGCCGCATAAGCTATATTTGACGCATCGCTAAAGCCATGTAACTCCATTGTAATATCTTTTTCGCTTTTATGTATCCATCTAGGAATATGAAAGTTTACCAGTTTCTTTAACTCTGCTCTATAATATGTCCATTCTTGTAAGAGATTTGGTGGCAGTTCATCATCCCAGCCGATTCCACAAATCCATAGCTTTTGTATGAAAACCTTCGAGGTTATAATGCACGGTGCTATCCAACCCAACGGATCATAAAGCTTTGATATCTCTGATATAACCGTCCTTTTTGTTTCAGGTGCAGCAGGAGGTGACATCTTCACAGAATAATCAAATTCATCAGTGTTCCGGTTCCAGGTAAGTCCTAAAATCTTAGTTATACTATCCATTTTTATTTCAAGGTCTCTACCAGAAGTTTCCTTCAACGTTTCCAAAATGGATGGTCTATTGCTTGTCCACTTTTGCAATTGGAACCCCGCTTTCTCTAATAGACAATTCATTTCATCATAAATTAGTTTTACTTCTGTTTCAGATTGACACCCAGTCATCAGATCGTCCATATAGAAGTCTGACTTCACCCTTTCAGCAGCCATTGGATACCTTTCGCCTTCATCGCTCGCAACTTGCTGCAACGACTTTACAGCTAAGTAAGGAGCGCATGACGTACCAAAGGTGACAGTCAGAAGTCGGTAATCCTCGATCTCTTTGTTTGGATTCTCTCTCCAAACAATTCTTTGATAATCTGTATCAGGTCGAGCGACCTTGATTTGGCGATACATTTTGACGATATCGGCAGCCAGACAGATCGGATGTTGACGCCATCTCATGACAATATGTCGCAAATCTGCCTGAAGAGTGGGTCCTACCATTAAGGTGTCATTTAAGGAAACCCCGTTCGTTCCCTTACATGACGCGTCATAAACCACTCTTACCTTAGTGGTTAATTTATCCTGTCTAACCACTGCGTGATGAGGCAAATAAACAGCATCGTTTTTATTTATTTCAGCCTTATCAACGATTTTCTCCATATGACCCAGCAATAAATATTCTTTTATTACATCAGCATACTGTTGTTTTAATTCATCATCCCTACCCAGCTTCCTTTCTAAACCTAGCAATCTTTTTACAGCTATATTTTTAGAATTACCGTATTTACAAAGTGGATCTTCGGAACGAAAAGGTAATTTTACGACATATCTCCCATTGACATCTCTAACTGTCGATTGTGCGTAAAACTCTTCGCAGGCCTGTTCTTCAGGCGTGAGAAGCTTTTTCGTTATAGCAGGTTCGGAATCCAATTCCCATAAACGTTTTAACATATCATTCTCTTCTATTTGAGTGTACATCGTGATTATAGTATTATGAGAATTTAGAGATCTATCTGCCTTACTGACATAGCCTGACACAATCCAACCTAAATGCGTGTCTTGTGCGACCGGAGAGCCTGTAGGACTCTTGATCAGACCTTCTTTTAAAATACGGCAGTATACTTCCCCCCCTAATAAAATATCAATTTTATTAGAACGACTGAAATTTGGGTCGGCTAGACGTATGCTGTGAATTTCTGGCCAATTGTCAAGGTTGACATTCTTATCTGGCATAACCGATGTCAGTGAACGTAGTACATGCGCAGTTACGTTTATGGTATAAGAGGAATCATGCAACGATTGAATATCAATATTCACTACATGTTTAGAAACGATCTTGCTATGCTCACCTCCTATACCTGCAATAGTAGTCTTTGAGACTACTCTCCTTAAACGAAGTAATTGCGCAGCTGACTCAGTTATAAAGGATGCTTGTGATCCTTGATCCAACAAAGCTCTCAAAACCTGAGAGGACCCATTTTGTGATTCGGCTTTAACCAAAGCCGTGGCTAACAAGACCTGACCCTGCGTTTGTTCATTCACAAAATGAGATGCTATACTTACCTTGACATCATGGACTGGCTCTGAAGTACATCCAAGTTCAGGGAGAATAGGTTCCCCTGACGCAGTAACCCCAATGGCTCCACTATGGTTCTTCGGATGTAGCAGCGTATGGTGTTTACGCTGACAAATACGGCATTTCGAAAAAACACGGCAGTATTTGGAAGTATGATTACTTCCCAAACAATTAAAACAGGCACCCAAAGATTGTGTTACGGCACGACGTCCGTCCACATCTAGTTGGCAAAACTTCTTACAATTTAAGAGTTTGTGACTCTCCGAACAGTGTGGACATAACATATTAGTCGTACCGTGCATGACCTTAGTGTGAGATGTAGGATGATGATCGAGTTTTAATTTATTTTTAGGCTCAACGCATTCGAGAGCACGAAAACGTGTTTCCAAAAACTCGCAAAACTGTTTAAAGGAAGGTAGATCGTCGGATGATTTAGTGACATGCAGTTCCCACTGCTTCCTCGATTCTACGTCCAACTTTAAGCTTGCAACGTAAATAATAATTACATCCCAAGAACTTACATCGATCCCAATATTAGTAAGTTCGTGCAAACAGTCACTGGTCACATCTAGTAAATCTTTTAGTGCTTTTGATGATTCATTTCCAATATTACGTTGGCCAAATAATCTATTTAAAATATATGTGGATACAAATCTCTTGTTATTATACCTATGTTCTAACATTTCCCAGCATTTTTTATAGTTTAAATCAGTTATAGGTACATGTTTTATAAGCTGCTCCGCTTCACCTGACAGTTGAGTTTTTAAATAATGGAGACGTTGGACATCATCAAGTTTTTTATTGTTGTGTACTAATGACACGAACAAATCACGGAATGACGACCACTCTGTATATTTTCCGCTAAAAGTAGGTAAAACTATTTTTGGCAATCTTACCACACTGCTGTCAGATGAACCATCGCAACCTTCCTTCCTGGAGCTGTGAACTTTTAATTGGGACAAAACATTTTTTAATTCTACCTTGTACATTAAATAACACTCATAAACCGTCTCATAGATATCTTCCTGGAAAAAGTCCTGTAATTCTTCACTTTCGCAATCACCTACGATGACTTCATATTTCGCAGAAAAATTCTTGAATTGGGTCTCTAACATCTCTAAACGTGCATCGACATAATTGTAGTTTATCCGATCTCTCGGGGACTTCTTGTAATTTATCCAGCCCTTTTCAATTTGTAATTTGATATCTTTCAGCTTTCTTAGTTCTTTCTCCATGTTGTTTGTATTCATGAAAATATTCTAAGTCCAGTGAAAGATAGATGAAAATTCTCTAAGTGTCGCTGACAGTTGACAATTGACAAATTTTCCAAGTCCAAACTATAGAGAATTTTTCTAAGTGTTTAATACTTGTAGATCGCTTCGAAATCGGGCATAGATTCGACGTCTGGTCGTTTTTCTTGAAACTATTCTAAGTCCCTGATCGAATGCACGCGAATTTTTCTAAGTCCCTAGTTTTAATGATTTGAATGTACTCACAGTTCTTTGTCCACAATTATGCACTTCACTTCACTACTACGAAGTTCACCGATGATTCCCGATGTATGTCCTCGGCAGCTGAGCACGTAGTCTTCCACATGTAGTATTGTTAACCGACAACTATCACCATCTCGTATCAATTAGCACAACTATATTTAATTGTATGTGTTCTTCCATAAACACCATCCGGCTCGAAGGACCATGAACAGTATCGGCCGAAAGTCCTTTGGAGCCGATTACTTGAAATAATACGAAGTACCTCAGAGCAAGACAATTTATTTACGTCAAAGCAGACAACCTAATGTTTTGCCGGTAACGAAACCATAGCTTGAATTTAAATCGGCCAACGCCATCTATCGAGCTATGGGACAACACAATAAATAGTAGTATGGCGTTGGCCGAGTGCATCTTTTAAACAGATTATTTCTACACTGAACAGATAGTTCATATAGTATAGTTCAGATAGTTCATAGTTTATCATAAAGGTTACTAGTACTTATGACCTAATTGTGTTACTTGGATGATCATCAAGTCTAGTCTTCATTAACTAACTTGTTGTTTATATTACATTGCCTACACAACGAGTGTTACGGCCACATCTCACAATCTACGTATCTATTACTAAATTGTTTTAAAACTAATTAAAGTTACAATTATTAAGGCAGGCTACGATTAACGATCTTTTCAATTAGGTATACAATATTTTAAAAGGCATTCTTCTCCTATTTAAAATATCCATTCATAACTAAACAAAACCTTTGACCTCGCACACATCTATAGATAATTTCATCTGCCAATTAAATATGACGTCAAGCTTGCAGTTTATTTATTTTCTTTCCACTTTGTTTTAAAACATTAGTCATTATAGACAACAAAACATCAGAGGGCACTTAAAATCAACTTTTAGTTTTCAATCAATTTTCCGGCAACATAATTATTTCTTGAATAAGAATACTTTGTAACTATGTAATACCACTTACAAACAGCTTCCTCCCGTCCAGCGTCCTCTCCCTCGCGAACTCTACGAACTCCTCTAAGTCCCACTTCTCTAGTAAAGTCACCACTCCTTCTTCGTCTAGTTCTTCCAGTCTCTTGTACTTCTTATCCATTGTCTGTGAAATATTCATTATCAAGCCATCAATTCCTTACACCCAGACCGGGTGTAAGATCTACAAACATATTTTTACCAAGTTTTCTAGTTGACCATAAGTTGAGGTTGACTGGCAGAAAATTCCATACGGCATTAAGCCCGCCTTAAGCATTATTATTTTTCATTTGGAGAAGGTACTTAACATGTATGAATAAAAAATGTATTAATAGAAAATGTTCAATATTGGACAGATTATTGAATTAATGAAACTATTTCGATTTTCTGATCAACTTTTAATGATATTGACACAGATTTAAAACTACATACATAAGCTCTGTTTCTATGGCTAATATGTGAATGGGAAGCCTGATGAGAAATGATAACAGATTCAAATATTCTGTGCGCCAAAGTCCTACCGAATAATAAAGCATCACACATCATTACACATGTATGGCATGTCTAAAAGTTCTAATAAAATGTTTTCGTCCATTAACACTCTAACTATGTTATTGACTTACGAGATCATTAAATATTCCATATTCAACACTTACGAAAACAAGATCCAAAAACAAAACACAGCTACATTCACTTCACAACTTTATGTGATTTTCCACTGTAAATAGATTTTCGTCTCACTCACACTGATAGTTTTCTGTATATTGCTATCCCTGTCGTGGGTAAGGTCGATACGACCTGCCTCTCTGCCGACCCTCAACCGACAGACCCGTGTGTGACACAACGGATTGGACACAATTAGCTTGATTGGTCATCTGCTATAGTTTAGATGTTATGAGTCGTGGATAATTCGCAGTTTGGTCTTAATTTCAGTTTAAATTTTCCGAACTGTAAGTCTATTGTTTATTGAAAAATAAGATAATCTTTGTTTTATTATATGGTAAGGAATTGTTATTGGCCATTATAATGTGACCAGTACTATTTGGATGAGTTCGAAAGGTTAATTGAAAGACCATTGTTCGTTCATGTTATTGGAGCGGTGCTTTTGGTCTGTGTCCACCAATATACAAAAATTGTTGATTATGAATAAAATAGTTTATTGAGCATGCTCAAAAATGATCAAAAATCCAACGCCTGTCGATTCGCAAACATGACTGCAATGAACATACTAGTTAATTGTAAGCAACACTCCGACACACATGCTACTAAGTGACAAATGTGAGCATTTGCATAGCACGGAAGCATGCTTCAGTTGAGACTGAAGCATGCTTCCGTGCTTGAAATTATCATGTGTAACAGTATGTTAAGTTTGTCCCCTGTTATAATATGAGGTCAGCAACATTGCCTAATAAAACGAGGGTATAAGAAAGCTATCTATTTATCCTTTGAAAAAGAAATCAATCCATATTATGTCTTTACGTTAAGGTAAAAATATTTAATTCAACATGACTTTCTTCGGTCATTCCGACCTGACTGAGGATAGTAATGGTCCTAACATCTCTCTCTACCATCTCTGGATCGGACGAATGGTCTCCATCGGCTCCTGTCTGCGGCCATTTGTATTGTGGTGTAAAACCTCGATGCTGGTCTGTCCTTGAGCTGGTCAGACCATCTGGTTGGGGACCGTCCTCTGTCCGTCAACACTGATTACTTTTCTCCGAGTTGCTCGCTTTAGGGAAAACTTACTTTCGTCTTTGTTATTATCCTTGTTTAGGACTAGCACGTCAATTTATTACTATCGGTGATGGTTAATCATCAATTAAATGATAAGATACAAATACATACGTGTCGTGTGTCATTGGAACAAAATCTTTTTAAGGAATTTCGACGTTCTCTACTGAGGTATTAATGACACCTTCGTTTATCTGTTTATTAAGTATTTTTAGTTTTAGTATTAGTTATAGGTTTATTGATTCGAAAAAATGATTCATTTGATTTTAAAGACCTTTCTTTCGTTGTATTAGTTCTGGATAAGTATGGGAGAGCCATACTTCAGCACAAATGGGTCGGCTGGACCGGGGTGACACCACGGCCTCACAGAAAATAGACGTGAAACAACGCTTGCGTTGTATTTCTGCGTGTGCCCGGTGGCCCAATTACCCCCTTCCCCAATGTCCCCGAATCTCCAACAAACCTCAAATTCATATGCCCTAAAAGTCCAGCAACGCACTGATAACGCCCGTAGTGTTTTGGGTGCCCAGTCCACAGGCGGCGCCGATTGCTAATCCGTCTGCTCGTTTACCGGCTTACCCCATATAGAAAAAAAATACTACAGTCTCAGTGACTGCCTCGGTGGCCGAGTGGTCGCAAGTGCGACTGCCGGGCAAGGGGTCTCGATTCCCGGGTCGGGCAAAGTATTATTGGGTTTTTAAAAAAAATTGCAGTACTAACACGGAGCCTGGAAACGTAACCGGTATATGGCAATAGGCTCACACCCTATTACATGGGACTCATAGACATAAAATGGTGAAAAGTGGGTGTTACATTGTACAGTAGCATTAAGTGCCGTAGTGTGCACCTCTGCCTACCCCTTTGGGTATAAAAGGTGTCAAGTTATGTCATGTTATGTGAAGTATCTTAGCCTCCATCAATTGCTCATAATTTCGGAAGTATATCTAGCAACTACTCAATCATAAAGCTCACCCAATATCTATGGTTTTCCAATACACAGCTGCAGCTTGCAAACTGTCTCCTGAACCCAGCACCTATCTCACACACACTTGACGGGGTCAAATAGTGTCATGGGATATCACATACATACCTGCCCATATATCAACACTCATACACTTTAACACAACTGCATAAATACTAAAATTCTTTGGCAGAAATGCATCAATAACTTTGTGCACCTGCTGATGGTGTACTACGATGATTTGCAGTTCGAATAGATCTTATTCTGTTGGTGTAAGGTTGAGTTTTGAGTGAGTCGAGTGTGTTGGTATGTTGTGGTGATGAATGAGAGTCAATTGATGAGGTGATGTCATTATATTTGATTGTCGCAGACGACGCTTGTTACATATAAATGCATAACATAATAAATGACGTCAGATTATTGAGGTATACCTGCAGTACACCCGTCTTAACCTGGTCTACATTATTGGCACCAATTAAAAGTACTACAATTGCTAACAACAGATGTTTTAAAAACAAAAGAATGTATATCTGTAGTTTAAAAAGTAAAAGAAAATATGTCTCTGTTTAAAAGTCACAGCATCTACTTTCTGATATTCAGTCGAATTTCAATGTCGACCTTTAAGTATTTGGGAGCAAGCTAGGAGAAATAAGTCTATTGGTATTATAAATATGTGATGATGAAATATATACAGCAAATAAATTGAGCGCACCTAGTACATAGGATTGCCGTTATCATTGTTATTCGACAGATAGTCGCCTAATCTTATACTGCCTGCGATAACTTATCGGACACCTACTTATAACACAATACAAAGAAAACTCGATATACTATCAAACTTCATATCTTTTATTTTTAATACTTTTATATAACATACAATTTTCCTCGAAGGGAATAAAGATCATTTTGTATTTTTGTACAGACAAAACAGAGTAATTGATAACATTGTATACTGCTTTAATGGTTTCAGAATGTAAGAACTTCGTTATTCAGTCACACTTCACCACCTTGGGAAGATATTTTCCATCAGCTGTCAACAAAATATATAGAGCACACGTTCTACATCAGGCAATGCTCCTGACAAACACATACAAGTTCTTATTACTTAATACTAGAGTCTATAATCACATAATTTGAACGTTTTCGGAATCACAGTTGTAGAGTAGGCGATCAGCTGATCCTGCAGAGCACGTCGTACATCTTGTGAGCGACCTCCTGCCCAGCGAAGCCGATGTAACACGAGTTGTGGCTCGGGTGGATCTTACCCGGGGTCACAGAGAGCTGGTACCTTGCCCTGCCGACGTATAGAGTCTCCCCTGAAGAAGTCCTACCTCCAGGAATAGCTCCAGGAGGTACGTTACCATTTGAGGCAGGAACCCAGCGCAGATCCTCGGGCCTGGCACACAAGACTTCGATGTTCTGCACTGATATCTCCTTCCCGGCGTACACAACCGAGGCCGCGTTGTGTCGCACGGACAGCTTGCCCGGCATCAGATCTCCATTGTGCCAAGCACGGATCACCCACAGGGGACTTCCGTCCCAACCTTCATGTCCTCCTACAACTGCTCGACCAGTCAAGGAGCCCGCCAGCAGCGCGGTAGTAGGCACCCAGTCGTACTCTCCGGGGGCCTCCACGATTGACACCGTCTGGTCGCCTGACGGGGTGACAGTGGTCTCACCGTGGTAGATGTAGTTGGTGATGTAAGTAGACTGTGATGGAGTGGGTTCAGGTGGAGGTGGCTGTGATGGTGGTACGGGAACGGGGATCATCACGGTACCAGGCACGTAGTACGAGGGAGGGGGAGGGTACTGTGACGGCGGGTACCCGAAGTCCGGGGGTGGCGGGTACATGTTCGGCTGCGGGGGTGGTGGTGGCCAACCACCGGGTGGTGGGGGGCCGTAGGCGTAGGGATGTCCAGATCCAGAATAACTCATGATTGCACTGTATTTCACACAATACTGATGAATGTTCGATCAAGTGCACAGCTTATATCAGAGCTGGTGTGTCTCCTATCTAATCGTACTGATACGTGAGTGAATCATGTGCTCGCCTCGCTCGCAATCAAACAACACAACTTTCGCTTAAATTATTATTTATTGTTCAGTGTTAATGTTACAAATTAAGTAATAATTTATTACATCTAGTTAATAACTATATGAAACACTTACATTAATTCGAGAAAGTTAGAAGACATTTTGTACAAGAAGATAATTCGTGATATAAATATGTATAGCTAACGATATATACATACATCGTCATACGTTTTATTGTTATTGATAAGAAACAAACAATCCGCTGCTTAGTCAAGGGATAATACATTTCTCATTAAATGACGCAGATTCTGTCGTGTCGATAGTTCGGTATGTATGTCCTGTTTCTTTCGGTGAACTACTAATTGTTGTGTTCGTCACATGCACTGGTCGTCACGTGTACGTCGTCATTAATTCCGATATATCGTCTGAATCATTAAATTTACTTATCATCTTTTACTGTATTTTTATACATACTATCGCTACAATTCTATCAACCTAGTCTCACACAAAATGTTAAAATACATTGAAAACTGTGTACATACACAATTAATTAGTATACCTACAGTGAAATGAGAAAAATGTATGAACAGTTTCAAATGTGAAGCTTGAATAGTACCAGAATTGACAAAAATAGCGCTTACGCGCTTACAACTTACTACGCTTACAAATAGAAAATTTATGACGAGCATACGTAGTTGACGAAATTCACCGAAAGATCAAAACATACAATTCTCCAAACATTTTTTCCTAATTAGAATAAAAACGAAAAAGTGTCAGTACCGTGAAAGACAAGAAACAAGACTGGACGCCTTGTAGGCGTTACATCGCATTACATCATAAATTATGGAACTCGATCATAGACCAATAGTCTCCAATGTTACTCATACTTCCTTGTAAACATTACAAATAAATAACTGTGAAGTTCACAACACAATGTAGTGCAATACAGACATGACTATTTGTGGAGAACATTAAATAATATATCGTTAGGCAAGTTTCCTTATTCACAAACATTGGAAGAGCTGCTACAGAATCCAATAGGATCCACGATTGAAAAGAAAAGGGGACCTTTCCATATATATATATATCAATGAATCTTTCCAAATAGCTGTGGATAAACATGGTGATGTCAATGAATCTCCAGGGTGGCAGGACTTAGGAGACAGTCCATCAGGTGAGTACCACGGCTCTGAAGACGCAGCGGTTGCCGTCCATGAGGGCAGGCCAGACGAACGACTTGATGAGGTCGGAGCGCCGGTCGCGGATGTCTCGGGTCTCTGTCGAGAAACGCACGTGTTTCTCTGGATTCATCACCACTGGAAGTAGGAAATAGATTAATTATGTTCAGGTTTGTTTTAACTTTAAAATTAATTTTATTTACAGCGACAAGACGAAAAGGTTTACGGTGTTGAACAACATCTAAAAAACCTTTTGCTTAAGAGCCAGAACTGGCTTCTAATTGAACGAATAAGTGATATTCTAATTTAACATCACATTTACGTCATCCACCATTATACTTGATAACATCGTATTTACACATGATGCATAATATCCAACAACTCGTTCGTCTCCACAGGACCAAATCCTGTTTGAACGAACTTATAACTTTACTGGAAGATCAATAGGCACTCATATTTTGATTATTTATCAAAGTGCTTCTTTTCTAGCCCTCTTTTTATTGACTCTTTCAGAATGTTGTGATTTGTCTCACCAGGTGTGAAGTCAGTGTCGATCCTGAGCGGTGGGGAGTGCAGACTAATGGTCCAGGCGGCCCGACACGCGGCCGCCACCAGCGCGTGCAGCGCGGCGCACGACGACAGGCACGGGTACTCGCGCAGTGTGCTCACCACCTGTGGGTACGAACTTATTTAGTACGGCATTCTCTAAAATAATAGTTATACGGGTGGAAGATTGAATATGGTATGGAAACAGATGAAGTCAGAATTATTTCATATCCAAAGAACCTCCGCTATTTTGGGAAGTTGACTAAAAAGAATGAATGAATCAGCAGATGATAGAAGAAAGTTTTTGATACATATACATATACTACGAGTATAAAAAACGTCCTTTGTATAATAAGCAAAACAGCATAATAGGATTAAATCTGATTTCAGTAACACCTATTCTACCATACAATATTGGCAATGCTACTGACCTGATTAATGACAGTTCGCTCAGCTTCTCCAAGCGGGAAGCTGTGCGCAGTGGTGTGCAGTACCCTGGTGGCGGCGGCCAGCATCCGGGTAACGCAGGGCTCCGGCGGTGCGTCCTCCGCCACGCCCAGCATTGCCTTCAGCTCGTTCAGACGACGGTCGCGGAGACTGATGACTGCGCGGAACGATAACTGGAAGAGAAAAAAAAACAATTTGAAATAATGTTTCTTTTTCAAAGTGAAGGTTTGTTAGCCAAGTCATAGAATACACACATATCGCCACGTCCCTTTGGTGTGAAGACGTCAATTAACGTGATGTTTGTTAATAGCATACTGTTTCACATCACACTGTTCAGAATCCACGTAAATCTGGTAGGGTATTTTTAGTTTATTTTATTCAGATATTTTAAACGCTTCTAATAAAATATTATCACAACTGTTTTTATTTTTCAATTACAACTTCTTTGGTCATAAAACAAAAAATTTGAGATGGTGACCAAACGTCGACCTATCAAGCATAAAAAATAGGGGTCACATGAAAAATGATTATGGTTTAGAGGAAAAAGGATTCAGTGGGTAGATCAGGCTTCAACATGTCGTACGTAACAGTGATAATAACAAATCGATGAGTCAGTCGTATGATGGACGCATATTTGTAAACACTATCATCGAATAGAAGTAAATACAAGGATATCGCACGTGACGCCATTTCGGAAGGTGATTCATAGATTTCAATGGAAACTTATCAAAAATCGGCCTTAGAATAGTACAAAGAAAGTTGATAATATTTATAACAAAAAAAAAATAAAGCACGACTTGTCTAATGTTCTTTCAAGGATAACACATGGCGTTTATGGAGGTTTCGAGGTCAAGAAAAGTTAAAGTAGATCCTTTGACATGACCAATTTGTTTAATCTAGAACAGAGCTACATAGATGCTGTGTAATATGGTAACAGACTCACTTCCAGTCTCAACAAAATATTGAAAGAAAAATTAAAGGGATAAACATTTCTTACTTCAAGTGCCTTATTTATGACAATTTGCCCTCATATATGAACCTTCCGAACTTATAGAATGTTGAACAAATAGATGGAAATACTCACAACAACGACGGAGAAGACGATCTTATACTTGAGATGCGGCGTGTGGCGCAGTGGCTCCAGCGCTGACAGTGCGGGGAGCGCCTCGTCTGCTGCGCGGGACCACACCGCCGCGTACTGGGATACTAACTTACTTCTGTAAAGCATAGACATAAAACCTTCTTAAAACAGAGTATTTTATGCAATAAAAATATAGTTTCACACACATAACTGACTCATACAAGCGTTGCTGCCGAGCGTAATGTTACAAATGTTCGAGCCTTCGGAGTTAGGCAAAGACAATATTTTTGAGAGAAAACAGTCATCATCAACAGTCCGTAAAATCTCACTACTGAGATCACAAAAGACAAGCCTTCTCTACAAAAGAGGGGTCTGCCGCAATCTCCAAAGTTTTCAGGCAGATTGGAGATAGCAGTTTAAAGTATCAACAGTACGGTCTGCTTAGTTTTCATGAGTCGCAGCGTGATAAGGGACAGAAGGTCTAAATATTATTTGAAAGGCCAACTCCTTTATTTTTGTCTCAAAAAACTCTTTGTACCTTATTTGAAATTTGATACTAACTGGGCCTTCAGGACCTTCATACCTTAAAGAAAACCGTGACCTACTATGTTACAAAGAGTAAGTACCTCTAATACAAGACATACATACCTGTCGGGATGCTGTTGTGAGTCATCACTGTCTGAATGGTAGCCGTCACTGGCGGAGTCAGTGGAGCGAGGAGTGGTAGACTCTGTGTTAGTGCCTTGGTCCTCACACATCTGGCCGAGGACTGCCGCGCATCCTCGGGAGTACGTCATCAACACACCAGCTACTGGCCTGCAAAGGAGATGGAAATAAGGTTATCATTTCTGCAAGGACGTTGGTTGTGCGTGACTGTTAATTAAGGTATTGCTCTGGGACTTCCCAGACGGGCTTTATCAGTAGGTAGTAACATGGAATCTAAAACTCGGTGTATAAGCAATAGAATTGCCCCAATACGTGGAATATATTGCGTAACTGGCCAAATGTGGATGTGCCTATAATTAGAAACGTGTTTTGTGCAGTTGTATACCACCTCTTTTTTTAAAGGAGGAAAATCATCAAATTTCTTCTCCCGCCTGAGTGAGGCGTTCAGGAATGTAAGAATCGTACTGACTAGAAACTATCCCGTTCCTACTCCTGCCCTTTGAGCCGGAGCCCTCTAGGTGTCCTTTCTAGAGGTAAGAGCCATGACGTTATTAAATGTCTCCTATACTTTCGTGCTTTCGTTTACATTTGATAAAATTCTTGCCATTCTCATACAATCCTACAAGGTACAATGTGACATACTGTGCTAAAATTCAACATGTAGGTAAAGTCACGTCAATTTTACAAAATTATCAAAAACTAGATTAAAACAAAAACATACAATTTAGGAGGAAGTTACAGTGCGTAATGTAAAGACGAACATTGTAATCTACTAATCAGGCGTTATTTTGTATCTACGATTAGATAACCACGTGCACCGCACCTTCCATTCTTCGTAACACCTAGAGTTATGCCATCCATTTCTAAAAGCTTTTCTCCAAAACATCACATAACCGGAGTCAACCAGTAACCAGTTCAGCCCTAACATTAACCAGCATGTTCCCACGAACTGATCGTAAACTGACTAACAATGCTCACTGCAACTATAAAAACTTACACAACGGAGAAATGTATGGGAAACTTATTGTTCCCGAGTTTCATAAGATGTGGAGAATTTTAATTTGATTTTGTGGTTCCGTTGCTTTAACGGGGCTTAGTTTTAGATCGGGATTTGTGTGTTTTGGGAACATGTCAGCCCTTGTGTACGATATTAATTAACAGACGGAGTTAGAGATATAAGTCTTGTAAGAATTGGGTACTTCCCAACTAGTCAAATTCAATACTTTTTTCGAACTGACATAAACGACAGGTTTCTATGAATTTTGTACGAGATTGTGTATTGTGACGTCACATTTTTAGGGTCAAACAGCATAATCATTTTTATACATTTACTGGAAAATTAATAAAATTAATTTGGTTATAAATTCAATTAATGGAAGTGTGATTATTTTTAATATTTTATAGTACTGAACAGTCGAAATTATTAAATACGAAAAGTACCCAATTGTGTATATTGACGACAATTTCTTGTCTGGCGTGTTGTTCGTGGTGTTTAGACTTATCACTGAATCAAATGATAGAATATTACTTGTCATAATCAATTTTTCTGTGTAAATTCAAGAGAATATTATAAAAATAAATGACAACATTATTTTAACTAAATTCCTGGTTGATGAATAGTGTACGCGCCTTATATAAAACGCTGAGCAGTATGAAGCTAACGTACGTATATACAAGTACATTACGTGTGTATGTGTAACCTTTATAGCAACATTTCCATCGTAGGCGCATTATATTGTGCTGGGCAGGTTTATGGGAGTTTTCCCTGACTTCTTAGAAAAGAGATGCAGTTTAAATGGTTGTTGGTCATTTAAAGGCTCGGTGACTGACACCGGTATATTTGATTGGTTTGCATTAACGATCTTGTATTCATAGCCCCGTCGCTAAGCTTTATAGCTAAATGGGTTCTATTCCCGGTGACAAGACGCTTTTCTTTTTTTTTTGGATTTTTTTTTTAAAAACGTTGCCCTTCCTTATGATTTTCTCCTGTGTCGTGGAATTTGTCTATGAGTAGGTAGTATTAGACATTAAATTGTACAATCAGCTATTTGACCAGTTAATAGTTACTAATGATACGGCTACGTAAAAGCATACAATTTAGTATAAATATAGCTGCTGTCTCTGAATCAATCTTTTTTTTTTAATTGCGTACCAAATAACTTGACCCCCTGTACTTAACCTATTATCATTATATTTAAAGGCACACCTAACGAGCATGGCCCCGGTATGGCTCAAACATTGGCGCGGAGTTTTTTGCTTTGAGAACAATACAAAATATATTTACGTTATGAAATAATGTCATACGACATACGATTTAAAGTTCATATCTAAATGACAATGACATTGCTAGGTTGGATCCGTGCCGGAGACGTGCTTGTTAAGAGTGCGATGATCGTAAGTATCCCACAACCTGATTAATAATTTAACTAATTATTACTAAAAATGTTGAGAGGAACTATACCGGTTACGCTCTTCCTACTTCTAAATAGAACAACAAGCATAACAGTTAAACTTAACTACTTAGTCTCTAATGGCCCTTCCATTCCAGCCCATCATTAACAGAGACTTTAGCACATTACGCGGTTGCTGCTGACCATCAGCAATCTCCATAACAAAGCTGCTTCACTTCCGTAATTAGTATTTCTCAAATGAAACTCGACATGAACAAAAGATTATCGTATTATAACTAAATGGACGTTTACACTTAAACGGTCGTTTAGTAATAATATAGTAAGAAATCTATCTACATTAAACAATTTTGTGTAATTCTGAGATGAATGTTAGGGTGCGTCCACATCTGGCAAAAGCGCAGCTAGCGAGCTACACGCGAGCCGCTCGCGAGCTGCGCGCCTGAACGTTGCATGTTACAGTTCCGTTTACTGGCTCAGTACTTCGTACTCCGCGTGAGCAGCACGCGCGCCGCTCGCGCACTGATAGCATACGGCGCTTAATTTGTGCGCGAACGCCGCGAAAGCGGAACGCGTGGTGCGCACCTACAAAAATCCACGTCAGATGTGGACGCACGCTAAGAGTTAGTTCAAAAAACACATGTACACGTCTGCCTTGGGCATTGTCTAATAGTCGTTTAGGAGGTGGCAGCTGACTAAGTGAATATACTATATTACAAAGTATTCCATTTTGGTCACCTAATAAATGGATGCCCCATTTCACTACTGACATTTTTCAAATAGAAAGAAAAAAAGAAAAAGAAAGAAAGAAAGAAAATCCATTTTTTTGCTACAACAAATGTGATGTTAATGATATAAGGACTAAAATAGCCCTTATAATAGGAGACGGAGCTGTAACTAGACTAGAGCATCTCTTTCTAGAGAGTGAGTGAGCTCCGCATGCAGAGCCTTATTCCAAATATATTGACAGTTACAAAATGTATTGTTTATTAAAACTATAGATGAAATTATTGGTGTGTGCCTCCCTAACCAGTTTGGAAAGTGGAAACTGACTTTCCATGTTTCTGTTCGAACAATACGATGTATGCCACTATAAATTCATCTTTTACTTTTCTCTGTGAATGTTTTAATGAAAATTCGACTTTCGTATATTGATTGTAAGGTTTGGTTTTAAATGTGGGAGTTTTCCGATAAGTTGGATTGTTTTTATAGTGGAAAGTTTAAAGTTGGAGATTTATTTCCAATGTGTAAGTGATACTTTAGGAGTTAAGTGGTGTGCTGTGTGAGGGCCACGACTGATGGGGAAATTTAGTCAACTAAGCCCTATCTCGTGGCTAGTACTACAAGCTACATTTAAAACGTTTGTTTCTTTCTTGCACGACGTGTTTAGTGCGGTAATACTTTATTTCTGTGATTTCAAAAACTACATGCACTATTTAAGTCATTCTACAGTGCTATAATGTGATGTTAGGCAGCACTGAATAATGATAAAACTATTGAAATTAGACACAAAATCGTTAAATCGATTGCAAATTCAACAAATCTACAAATGAAGGGTATATTTGTTTAAGTTTAAATCAAATCATTAAGTACACACTTATAGCCCACAGAAAATACAAACGTGCTATTCAAAGACCCCATATTGAAGTTTAAATTATAATTTTGAACCCAATACGAATAAAATCCCCGTGGACCCCTCCTAGGGGGGAGCAGCACTCACCCCTCGTCGTAGTCACAGTGGACTATTGTCATTTTCTTCTTTCGCCTCAACGTGGTGCCTCCCTTCGTGCCCGACTCCGCCATGCTGGGTTAAACAACTTCATATATAAATATACATACAAACATCAGATCAACTTTATTAATTTTGAACTTTATTGATTTGAACATTAAAGTTGAAAATCAATTGACAAATCATAGCAGGTTGATTAGGTAGACATTAGAACAACGTATTCTTATCTTAATATAATTTTAAACTTTACTAATTTGGACGTTAAAGTTGAAAATCGATTGACAAATCGTAGCAAGTTAATAAGCAAAACATCACCACATCATTTACAAATCTGAAATTATTTTGAACTTTATTTCTTTTGCATTAGAATTAACAATATATTGAACAAATTACAATAGTTTCATGAATGGTGAATCAAGAATATTGAGATGGTTTGATCATGTTGGGAGAATGGTTGGTATGAAGGTTAACTCATGTTAATGGTAAAATTCATGAATTTTTATAGTCAACTAAAAATGACGAGTTACTAACGTAAATATACTGAGAAAAGCTCTACTAGTTTCGAACCACAGAGGGACGCGAGTCGCGGCGATGTCGCGCAACCTAGAGTAGAGTTTTTCTCAATACATTCACGTGAGTAACTCGTCATTTTTAGTTACTTCAGTATGTCCCACGATGGTTATTATAGAAACATGTCTATAGTCATTTGATAAATAGATGAAGAGTTAGCACTGGAACTACCCTATCTGTATAAAAAGATTTTAGTTCTCAGCGAGGTTTGTGTCTTTCCCATATTAGTCTTAGTACCTGGAACACCAAGCTTTTGCGTTTTTGATCGATGTTTGTTTTTAGTAAACAAGATTTTCTGAAACCGAAACCTAGCTAGATCGATTAATCGCCACTGAAACTTCCTAAATACGAACACGAAAATCGTTGCAGCCGTTTCCGAAATCATTAACAAATTAACTGTCCAAGAACTCACAAACGACTCACGATGAACTTTTGAAATGAATTCATGAGTCGCAGAAGACTCATATTTGGCAAGTTCAGGTTGTATTATTGATACGAGCGTGACACCGAATTCTAATAAAAACTACGTGAACATGTAGCAAGAACCTGACCTTTAATATAGTAATGGACTTGGGGTACTTGTTAATATTATTATATGGGGACAAATCAGTTGTATACATATCAAGAACTGTTAGTTTAAAGGTATAATAGATATTCGCTCTCATTTTCCTCATTTTAAATCAAACCAAAGACACAACCACACCCAAACTAAACGCAAACCACCACAAACCACTGTCTCCTGAGTACCACACCACCCCACATAACGCATTCACATAGCATCACGCCTTTTATCCCCGAAGAGATAGACAAAGGTGCACATTACGGCACTTAATGCCACTCTACAATGTAACACCCACTTTTCATGTTATGAGTCCCATGTAATAGCCCGTTTATGAGCTCTGAGCCTGAAATAAAGATTACTATTCTATTCTATTCTAATAGGGGGTGAGCCTATTGACATATACCGGGCACCATTCCAAACTCCGTGCTACCACTGAGAATTTTTAAAATCTCAGTAATACTTTGCGTGACCCGAGAATTCCTGAGACCCCTTGCCCGGCAGTCGCATTTGCGACCGCTCGGCCAACGAGACAGTTAACGCATTAAACATGAATATGAATGAACAACATACAAACGTATAACAAACAGGTTTAAACTAAAACATCAATGATTAGCGTTTCCGAGAGAGATTTCACCAAACGCAGAAAATACTTGTCATATAATAAAGTGACGCAATGTGTCACACGATGCCGACGTTTGGCTTTCTCTCTTATGTCAGTGTTAAATAATTATTTAGGGATCCCTTGAGTCTTTATGAAACCTCCTAATTAAGGCTACCGTGTTTTACCGGCTCACCATGGCGGCTTACACTTGAATGCAATTCCGATCGATCGTGTGACACACTAGCGCCCATTGCATCCGTATTGCGTGGATATTGAATGAACTAAATGGTATTGAGTTTGTCTTTATATTCCGTACTCTGAATGCTATTTTAACAGCTACTGTAGGGGTTGTATAGTTTTGACATTGAATAATTATTGTGATTTTATTGGATTGAAATGGCATTGACATTGTATTACTAATGTAGCATGGGGTCTGTTTGTTAAATTACTGTAACTGTCAAAAATCAAATGTTGTTTTTTAATGTATTATAATTTAAACTATTCTTCAGTACTGACTGATTCATTTGGCGAATGGTCGCAAGTGCGACTCCCCGGCAAAGGGTTTTGGGTGGATTACCGGGCCGAGGAAAGTATTAATGGGTTTTTCAGTAGTAGAACGGAGTCTGGAATTGTGTCCGGTATATGGCAATAGGCTCACTCCCTATTACATGGGACTCATAAGATAAATAGTGAAAAGTAGGGGTTTTATTGTACAGTGGAACCAATCGCCGGCCAACGAGGCAAAAAAAAATCAATAAACGATCATTATAGAGACCATAGAGTAATTTCACGTTTTACCTAGACTATTAATCCCTAATGTAACTCGACACTAATCGAGTCACTTCGTCAAACAAAAGAATATTAGTCGAAGAATCGCTAATAAGTATACAGAACCCACTTAACAATTCGCTCCACATAATCAGTTTTTTTATTACCAACAATAATAACACTTCTGATATCTGTTATTAAATATTCATCTTCATGCACGAGCTCAAAAATGTTAATAAACAACTAATATTAACTTTATTTCACACTACATAAAGTTCATTGTCCAATGAAGCTTAACCGCAATTTTAAACCGACACAAAGTAATACACAAATGAACTTTATTTCATATAGCATAAAGCTTATTGTCCAATGAAGCTTGACAACAATTTAAAATGATACAGGGCGTTTAAAATAATTGTAGTGATATGATACGTGTATTAAGTATGGCCGCGTTAATGTATGCGCATGCGCGGTGTCTGTTCATACTGTAATACGGGGGATTGTGTGTGGGAATCTCATTGTGTGAGACAATGATTGCTAGGCTTCACATTTCACATATAATTTGCACCTCACTATCTAATATGCATATGAACGGAATAATTGTACACTAAACCTTATACTTACGATGATGCCTTTACTCACATTTTTCATTTAAATATTATGTTGTTTTATGTATGAGAAATAATGGTTTTGGTACTAGTAATTATAATTGTCTCGATTGTCTACCCTCATCACAACAATTTAAAGAGATCCTAATATTATTATTTCTCTAACTTGTTTCCTAATTTAACTAATTACAAATCACGGGTTACTCACGTGAAAATACTGAGAAAAGCTCTACTAATTTCGAGTAACATAGGGGCGCGACGATGTCGCGCAGCTCTTTTTTTTCTTATTTCCTAATAATTAAAGCATCAAAATAAATCTCTGTCGGTAGCAATTTTGGAGTATGTATCCATCAAACCAGACACCGTATTCAGATTATCAATTTCATTAAAAAAACGAAGTACTTCACCAGCCCCAATTAAATTTAAAAACAAAGATTGCATAACAACTGGAGTCCACACAATACCATCACTCAAATTCCCATAAAATACCAGAGTATGTATGTACAGAGTACTCATAATTGGCCAGTTTTCACGGCTATCAGAAATATTGTTCTCAAAGTGATATTCTCACGGGCTCCTATTGTAGAATTCTCGTAAATTTTCATCACCCATCGTAATTGGAGGTCGATTGATGAAACGTTGCATTCCACACTAATTGTACTCTAGTTTGTTTAATTTTATGTATTGTGTTCGTAGGGTTAGACATTGAGTGAAATTTTCGTTTTTTTTTTCAGTAATAATGTCTATAAATGTCCCGCATATAAACGTGTTAATAATACTAACGGAAATTAATGAAGATACACATATAATTACATATCTGGTTCCCTATAATTGTCAATAGAATTTTACAATGAGTGTTCTACTTATTCTTACTTCATGAATTATTTTGTGTCGTTAGGCTTCATGTCTTTTTCTTACGATTCCCTCCATCAATCATAATCCTATCAAAAACTCCTTTTACTTTACTTTTTTGGTACGATTTTCCTACTTGCCTTGTATCTAAACTTGTTGTTCAATGTCCTAATAAAAAGAGATCATTCGGGAACGGGAGCGTTCCGTTTACACCCTCTATACTTCATCAAACTATCACAAAAGTCAATATAGATAAGTCTAGAGAGTGTAAGTCTATGGATCCATCTGTCATCACACAAGCACCAACGTAACGGCACACCTTCCATACATAAACAACAATAAACAATAAAGAAATAAACACATTTTATACAAAAAATTAATGCGAAATTATTTTCAACAAAGACTCATGTAATTATTGCACATACACACACAGACACGCACACATTCACACATTTCCCTACAAGATATATTATTATGTGTGAAATAACGCCTTCCTTTTCCTTGATCGTATCTAGCCAAGCAAATTACGTCTCTCTGTACTTAGATAATGGAGAAAAGTACGGCGATTGTTGCTTAACTTTGAATAGTATCTGATCTTATACCTGTGGTATTCATAAAAAAGTGTATGACTATTGTGTTCGCACCTCGTTAGAATTGCTAGCTTTTTAAATTTATTATCTCCCACTTTAACAAACTCTAGGGTTTTCTCGTATCAACCGCGTTAGCCACTACGTGAATTATGCAGGCAAGCCTTTTCTTTTTTGACAAGGAAAAATCATCTCATGACTCCTACCGCGTTGAGTGAGGCGAAAGGGGATGTAGTGTGTGTGACACCTCGCCCTATAAGTAAGTAGTGTAAGTTAGATATTAGGACACTTAATGAAAGATATCGTATCGAGTCAATGCATGTAGTCACGGCTACGAACTTATTAGGTACCTATACCTATTATTGCATTTTCTATAGTCTGCACTTTAATAGATAAATCACATACCTAAAGAAAAAAGTTTTTCCTAAACGTAAACAGAAATCTTTCCGCCTGTTCAGTCTCATAAATAAATAATAAACTAACCAAATAAACAGTTATAAACTGATATAAACGGTTGCGTCATAATGTCCACATAAACTGATATAATCATTTACACAAATATCAGAATTTCACTGTTTTAATTAAACTGCAATTAGCTGCATCGATATTTACTGTCATCTTAAGCACGTCATAAATTGCAGTGGTCTTTACAGTTGCAGTTGCATGAACTGATCTTAATGTACCTTTACATAACGATATCAAACCGGGTAGATTGTTTAAATGTACTTCACTGGCTTACCTACTTATTCACGTATATGTTTCGCTAAAGTATAAATATATCCTTAGAAATTGATTAAAGAGCTACTATCTACCATCTCTAGTAATTTATTATCATTTTTTTAAGGGACAAGCCCGCCACGTCCTCCCACATCGCTGCAAGTCCTGTACACCAGGATCTACAGTAGATACATCCATGAAAACACCGGAACACTGAAGTCCAGCGCGTCCCAGGGACATGAGTAACTGTCTTGGTTCCCACAACGATGTGAATCAGAAGATATAATAAAAGAAAGAAAAAAATGATAGTTTCCACTTCCTTCGGTGAATTACTGCAGAAGACAGAATGAATTAAGCCTAAAGGCACAAAAAAGATACTGTACAATTGGGTGAAGCCCAGTCGCTAAGCACCACGGAATTTTGACTAAAAACTAAGTAACTTATTGACATTATGCTAAAAACTATAACTGTAAGAATTCACGACCATTTAATCCTCAAAAGGTTTATCTACGTAGATTAACGTGTATTCTATGTACTTAACCCCTAAATACTTTTCGCTAGCTATGTTCAAATATCCAAGTATTAGGAGACAAGACTAATGCCATCGAATCACACAAGAACCAGTTTCCAATCAATCCAAATATGACATCAAAATCACGTAACATCATTAACAGATGACACAAGAGCACGAGATGAAAGTAATCTAATTAATCAATAAATAAATCAAACGGATCTTAATCAAAACTCAAGAGAATTTAATTTAACTCACAAATGATATAGTGGAAGGAAAGTCGAGCGACCACTTTCTAAAATAATTACGATTTAACATTTAAAAATAACTTTTTTGGAACTGATTTTTGTTCAGCAGTTTTAATTTATGGCCATTTTATTGTAATCACACCATGGCGTGGCTTTGTCACCTGATTAATGGCTTTCCTACGCAAACTGAATAAATATTTGTTAAACTTGTAATGCAAGACAGATTTGTAATGAATAAAGATGGTAAGATGGATGCGATTACATACAACAGTGAAATTCCCAAATGATATTATGACATCCATTCAGTTATGAAACATCTTCCAATGATTCGGCATGCACAACGAACCACCTCAATCCTAAGCCAAAACAAAGTCAAATACGAAAAAACATGCAATGAGTTATGATGATCAAATGTTTCCTCAAAATCTTACCTCGTATCATTCAAGTCCAGAGTTGGGTCACTCCTTTTAATCTGGCCGATGCAAGCCAGTACTGCTTTATCACTCTCGACCCTGGCTGCGAGGGCATCCACGAGGGTCGGCAGCTGCCTCAGCGCTGGCTTGTCGACTATCGTCAGTAGTGACTTATTGTCGATCAACCGTCTCTCTACGTCAGCGTGTGATAACGCCAGGAGACGCTGGTGGGATGATGCTGCAGGGTCTTGTGTGATTGTGACCGGGGACTGCAATTAATGGTAAATTTTAGATGGAATAAATGTGGAATTACTTTTGCAGCAGCCTATTTTACTCATGGTTAAGTATCAGCATTGGGGGCTGCCTTTAAAACCAAGGTTATGTTCATAACACTCACCAGCTCTTCTAACTTGTGCAGAGCCTGCTTGTAGACATCGACATGGCGCTGCAGCTCATTCTTCAAGGCGACGTGTAAGGAGATCAAGGAGCCACTCGCGTCGGCTGTCAGCCCGTGCGTGCCTAGGCCTGTGGAAGAAAAAAAGGTATATTTATCGCCACAACTCGACGACACAAACGCCACCTTATCAATCCACTCCATAAATCTGATATCCGTAATAAAATTTTTAAAAAAAACTTTTATAGAACGATTCTACGTAAAATAACGTTTTATAAACATCTCATTTACGGGAAAAATAATATTCCATTTCATGTTTACATTGGCCTTTAAGTATCAACACATAAACCAAAGCAAAACATCGAGCCAGTCCATTAAAATAGAAACACAACAGTGCATTCACAGTTCCGCACCAAAACCCACGGACGATGAGAAAGACCCAGCTGAGGTAAAGGAAACAAACGCAATTAGAGTAATATTTCCTCGTTCTGCTGAATTATGGCATCCGTCGGAGGATGCCCACTATCCAGCTATCTTGATGCTGATTCATAACTTCAAAGCTAATCGGTTTCAAATCAAACCTTGAGGCATCCCTCGATTAACATGGAAGTGTTGGCTAAATATTATGATATCATCTGCTACGGCTCGCTGCTTTATTTAGATGGAAGCAATTATGTAACAATTGTTTTGTGAAGTTACATTTTCTTAACGTTTTATTTGATCTACCAAGTCACTTCTTCCTTCAAAAGTATCGTTTTAATACTTTACCTTGAACAGCAGCATCTAGCTGTCTTCTCCTTGCGTCAATGGCATCTCTCGTGTCTGGCGTGTAGTGGACAAGCGAGCTCGCCAGACGCGACGTCCTAGCTCTTAAGCCAGAACTCTGGTCTGCACCCAGCAGACCTACCAGACGCCAGGCTATCGTCTCACATTGCACGTCAGGACGAGGCGTCACTTCCAAGGATATAAGTCTGCGGACAAAAAATGTTTAGGATTTATATTGAAAATTCTTTAAATTAATAAGAGATCCAATGCTTTGTAAACAACATAATAAAAAGAAATCGAATAGTAGTTATAAACTTTTGTCTTTTAAACTTTAACACAAAAAACCTGTACCTATACAGTTTTGACAAAATTTCTTTAATAAAATAGAGTTATAAAACAAGTATTGCATCACAAACAAATTATACATAACTCAAAATTAAGGGCATCCTTTTATTAAAAGATGGCGGATCGATAGGACGCGCAGTCATTGCGTCTGCTTCATTAACATTCTTTTAAGTAATTACTGTGGCTGCTCCCATTCCTAGCATCTTCATTGCTACATTATTATGTTATAATATTGCATACTCTGCACTGTTGCAAGGATGGACACGCCACTGATTTTGATGGCCGCAAACTCATTTATTACATCCTTCAAGTCAACAAACTGAAAATAATTGCGTTGCATTTTACGACCAGTATCAGTAACAGATTCAGTATTTAACCAATACACGTCTTTATAATCATCGCCTTCTACACAAATACCTTCCAAGCTCCTATCAATGACTATGTCTTCACTAATATAGTAATCAACAAAAGCTATCCTACAATCATAGCCGTACTAACAACACCCATGATTACTTCGCTACCGTAGTCTAGCGGTCTGACTCTCATGTCATGCCATTTATGTACTTTAGTGACAGCCATGTCTGTCCCAAAGACACCATTATTTACACCACCTAGTGACCAAGCATCAAATGTGGCATCATAACTGTGTCTAACGGCTTCAGATCCAGATGCACATCATTAAAGTTGTTCCTATTCTCACATAATATATTCTATTAACAATGAGAGTATACACGGCTACAAATCGAGCTATACAAAACCAGTATATCATGATCTCGCTTTGTAAAATGTTTTCGTACAGTCCACAGTCAGTTTATACTGGTTTTCTTATCTTGGTGTGTTACCGTGAGTACAAAATCTTGCTGCTTCTACGTAAAGTTTATAGTAATTGAAGCGGTTTTTATTTGCTTTGCCGATGTCTGTTTCAATTAGTTCGATGTCTATTGTTCGTTTGTTACTGTTCATGTGTTGTTGCCGTGGTAATGACTTCTTAGATGTTGTGCCATACCATGCCAAGGTTTATGGGAATCGGAAAAGTTTATGTTTTAGTTCTTCGTTCATAGTTCCCCGAATCATAATTGTCCTATGCATGTAGACAGCATTTACTGTAAATGCGTTCCGTACCCCAAGACATTGCTTTTTTAAAAAGATAGATATGACGTCATCATAAACTCATATATATTAACATCTAGTTTTTCCATTCCATGATTAGGTAACATAACAAAAATACCTTAACTGTTCTTCTATTGTGGTAACGGTACCATTTCTATACAAGACAAATCTACTACCACAATATGGGTATACATAACATAACATCACGCCTTTTACCTCCGAAGGGGTACGCAGAGGTGCACATTACGGCACTTAATGCCACTGTACAATGTAACACCCACTTTTCACTATTAATATTATGAGTCTTGTGTAATTTTGTAGATGATACATATGTGTATCATCTATAAATCCAAAGCCTAAAAACAATTTCATCTTAATGAAACCAGAAACCTCATATCCACAGCTGCATTTGCAATTACCAACGTAATTTTTACTCCACGTCTCTTTCGATATCAATTACAATAAAACCGAATAAATCACGTCCAACAGTTTCGTGCACATTCGTGAATACTTTTAGTTTCCAGCGCTCAGTGGTTGCGAGTGAAACTGTTCAGTCAGGGCACACGATCCGTTCTCACGTCATTGTCAGCATTGTCAATAATTTCTATTTCTGTTCACACAACTATTATTCTTTCAGTGTTGATTTTATTTGTCACACCTTTATAATTGTGTGATTTACTTCTATTAGGTTTATCTATTATTTCTGTATGTGAAAGCATTACTTCATCTATTGATGGATTTTCTATCACAACCATCGTCATTACAGTCCACTGTTAGACGCTATAATAATTATTGTTCTTTGTATCATCATCGTGCAGTAGTTGGACAATGCCTGTAATTGATTGGATATAGTATTTCCATTTTAATAATTTCCTTTATGGTGTCAGCCATGTAGTATTTGAAATCCTAATCCGAAGTTTGCAAATAATCATATATTTTTGTCACCAGATGGCGCCAATGTTGCAAGATGTTATTTTGTCCAATCACTGCAGCTGTCAAATATTGAATGTTCAATGGTCTGATATTAGCTAATTCCCTATTGGACGAATAACGAAATTATTTGTGCCATTTCGTGAGCAAAAATACGATAGGCCCTATTATTGTTAGTTCCAGATTATTCCTATTATCTATCAGTCATAGTACCTATAGACGCTTTTAGCATAATAAAACGAATATAAAAGTACTTTTTAAAGTTTTAACTACTTTCCTATTACGACATGTCACATCAAATCCTCTTATTGTTCTTCTGAAAGTAATCTTCATCATCGAGTTACAAAATCTCCAGCAACATTGACACGCTCCAGAGGACAACTAATTCACGTCCGCGATGTTGTGTGATCTTGTGTGCAATGTTACTGAGATACGAACTATAACATTATACACATATAACTTTATTACTTAACGATAAATTCACATTATAATCACCAGTTAAATCATATGTCCCACAAGACTTTGATACTTGTAGGGTGAAATTCCATTCCGCCCATTTTTTTACTAACGTAATGACAATTCCCCTAATTTGAAACTTAATAACAATTTTTGAGACTTTAGGTCTCTTATGCTTCACTTGACCAACAAGATTTAGAAAGATAACCACATCACTAAGTGAGTAGACAATACAACTCGTTTAATTAACATGGAACTCTCCAGTATTTAACACTTCAATTTACTAGTCGATGCAGTATTTTTTGGTTTTGTTCAACGGCTTTAACTTTCGCTTTTCAGCAACTCACATACTCAAAAGGAAAGAATTTAACTACAACATTGTTTCAAAAAGTATGGACTATCGATGACTCTACCTTTTCATTTTTATTGTTATCTATAATTTTGATATGAACATATGAACAGTAGTCAATTTTTAAAGTTATCAACGCTTTTGTGAGACTTGGAAAATATTAATGAAACTTTTAACCACAGAATGGTAGGTTACCATAAATCAGCACCTACATATAGCTACACTCCCAAACCAGCCACAATAATGAACAAAACAACAAAACATCGAAGCAATCAATGCAGGTCCATAAATTTCACTGAACCACCAAAACCGAGGGTCCGGGAACAGGTCCGACCGGTGCACTTTCACCCACATCGGGTCCATCAGACCCCGACATATAATTAAACCATTATGGATAACCATTCACGAACTCTGAGACCCAAAGGCGGCAAGATTTTGTTCCTTTATTATAATGTTTATTTGCTAATTTACTTGTAATTTGGTTCTATGGTATTAGTGTTGATTGTATGGTTATTATGAGTGTTAAACTTTGATTTCATTAGCGGTTTGATGTTATTATTCAATCTGTGTTATTATAGGGGATTACACGTTATGAGTACATGGATAGTTTTAATTCTTCGGTAATTGCTTATATTAGGACTAACAGTGTGCGTTAGCGTGTTTTGTATTTTATCACATTGAGTTCAATCATCACCTCTGTGTTAAATTTAAACTAAATGTAATACTGCCTTTGTTGATAGTTAAATGCTTAGTAAAACATCTCATCTTTCCTTTCGAAGTGAATGAAACATAAGACATGTAACAGAGGTTCCGCCAATAAAAATAAAACTTTGATACGCCATTTACCATCTCATAACATGCAGAACTGACGCATGCAATCAAGCATAACTGACAATAAACTGATCATCTGCATTAGGGACCTTTCTCGAAAGTGAAACCATATGAACTGTCAAAACCTAGGCAGTAAAAGTGAATGCCTTGATCTTATAAGACAGCTGTAAAACAAGATGGCGGGTTTTGGCGGGAGATGCAATAAATTAATAATCCGACGTCATCGGAGCGTAGCCGTGTAATTAATCGTAGTTGCAAATATTTTTGAGCTTTCCAATCCCATGTCTGGGCTCAGCGTATTATATTTTGTGACTGTTATTAAATTAAATTATCCTTTCTATTTAGTGATGCGGCTGAAGTTATTTGGACATTGATTAATGAATTTTTCTAAGGAGACGCTGATTGCATGGGTCACTTATCCACGTTTCAATGGCAGGCAGGATTTAAAAGATATCTCGAGTCACTATAAAAACTGAGCACAAGTTACCTACTAAAGTATGTGTAGAGGTATGTTGAATTTAAGTTGAATGTTTTGATAACTGACGAAAACGCCTTGAGTTCTAGGAGTTCAAAAGGCCATTTCACATCGATCATGTCTCAATCATAGTGCTCACGTACAAATGTACCGCAGTCAAGCTTCCGACCTTTAATCTCGCTGAATCACTTGGCGTAACAATATGTTATTTAATGGCAATAATACATAATGTAATGTAACTTCGATGATTCGATGTGAGGTGTTATGTTATAATACATGAAGTGCTTGTTAGATATTACTTAATCAAGCTCTCTTATGTCTTGTTCAAGTGTCTTAAAATTAGTATTATTTTCTTCATGAAATCAACTGTTTAGATAAGCATAGAGCTATGTAACGTGTGCTTGCTAAAAAACAACCACAAAATCTTTATTGTCACATTATACACACAAGACAATATTTTTCACAGAACATGTTGTGATGTATCAGTCGGAGAAGAGAGTTTGTCCTATTCTAGGCTTTTCCCATAATTTCTATCTACGATTTACGTTGAAATACAAGTCCTGATATCTATTTTAACACCAAAACATAACCAAATCATTTAATACCGTTAGCGAAGTAAATATCAAGTTTAATGTCCACTGCAGCTTTTGTAAACAATGTCAGTAGTTTCATTTACCGGTTTCATACAATTTCCGCAATGGACGCTGAATTAAAACCTGTCATAGGACTTTCTCAGCGGTTCCTTCGAGTCTCCACAGTTTGAAGGTCATTATGGTTGTAAATCATGTGAAAGTAGTCTGGACGCTAAATACCAACCAACCGGTCGACGGCACTTTCGTTAACAATCCCGTAAATTAACTTGTTCACATCCTTGAACCTTAAAACAAAGATTTAAGGAGTGTTTTTGAATGGTTCTATCCAAAAACGCACAACGTGATTCATGTTGGAAGTTATTATAAACTTTTATGTTGCATATTTAGAGTTTGTTTTCGTTTGTTAGTTCTGAATGTTCTGCATGCATGTAATCTAAGATCAGAGATAGTGGGTAAGCTGTATTGGATCACAATGATACTGACACGAGGAATTTAGAAATTGTAGCGGTTCACTTGTGGAATCCATTAGAATGACAGATTGTTCTCATTAGCTGATATTAAGATATTAATGAAGGCAAGATAATATCGTTAGAAAATTAATTGCATTTAATGTCGATGGCTCGCAATTGGTACATGATTTATCCTTATGAATATGTAACTAGATGTTCTTAATCTCAACGAATTTATGAATAAGTTTAGTGTCACACTGAATTTTAAGCTGTTTATTTTGTTTGTTTATTAATGTCAGCGTGTTGCCATGTGTGCTGTGTGATCAACTAACACGAAAATATAGAATAAGTATGATCACAAGTTTGGAGCTTAACTAAAATTAGGTGAATCTCAGCACTTGTTAATGTGACTATAGAGTATAGTACTGGCTGTGTCAAATTCTGGGTCGGGTGAAGTGTTGATGTATCGCTTTTTTCCACATATCGTCACCCTGTTTCCCATTGACCTCAATGGAAGGGATGGCAGAGATCATAGCCATATAACACGATTCTGGGATACCTCATAACATAACATTACATCACGCCTTTTATCCCCGAAAGGGTACGCAGAGGTGCACATTATACCACTGTACAATGTAACACCCACTTATCACTATTTATGTTACGAGTCCCATGTAATAGGGGGTGAGCCTATTGTTATATACCGGCCACAATTCCAGACTCCGTGCTACTACTGAGAATTTTTGTAAAGGCCCATTAATACTTTGCCCGACCCGGGAATCAAACCCGAGACCCCTTGCCCGGCAGTCGCACTTGTGATCACTCGGCCAACGAGACAGTCTGGAATACCTCTTTCGCTTCATCTACTTCATTAATATCGATGGAGGGTCTTTCTACTTTATCCCTTTTTAATAATCGTATCTGGTCGAAGTATGTCCGTCTGGAATGCCCTCTAATGATGTCCAATCTTTTTAACAGCAACACTGGTAACGAAACGCCATCTTGCATAATATTCCTAAGCTGATTCCCTACACCTACTACAAGTACTGCCGGGTGCAACTGACCGAGGCCGGCTCTCAACCGAGACCACGATGGATAACGGGCGGTCACGTCTCGGCTACTACTACACTCCGACACTTCGATATTGTACCCCTCTGCTTAAAGCAATGTCGATATGCTTTCAATGTCAATGTTTTTGACAAGGATTAATGTGGTGAGATGTCGGAATAGTAATGGTCTAGAAGATTATATCCTCTTATCACAGACGAGAAATGGTTGGAATATTAATTAGATCTTCTTTATTAATCTTCAATATTATATAGCGCCCATTTCATTAAAGAGACTGCCTCGCTGGCCGAGTGGTCGCAAGTGCGACTGTAGGGTCGGGCAAAGTATTATTGGGTTTTTAAAAAAATCTCAGTAGTAGCACGGAGTCTGGAATTGTGCCTGGTATACGGCAATAGGCTCACCCCCTATTACATGGGACTCATAACATAAATAGTGAAAAGTGGGCGTTACATTGTACAGTGGCGTAATGTGCACCCCTTCGGGAATAAAAGGCGTGAATAAAATAAACATATCACTTCATTCATCTGCCCGTCTAAACAGTTGATGTCTCCACATCACTTCACAATATACCTCTAGTTTTAAAATCGTTTATGAATTCGTCTTGTGTCATATTACTTGTAATTTCTACTTTCTAGTAAAGTGTATGGGAAGTAATAGCTGCGCCAATCGAAGAATGGCCGATGAATTAACTTAATGCGCTGTACAAGTTACGAATATTAACTTTTATAATGTTCGATTGTGTAATTGTTAAAGTGTGTAAGAAAGTGCTAAGAGAAAAGTCAGTAAACAAGTTAGTTATGTAAATATGAGACAAAGAGGCGCGGGTGTTAATCATTGCAACAAACTTCCGAACACTTGGGTATTGCATGTCATTCATGTTTTGTTGTAGTGTGCACAATGATCGGAAAAAGTCGTATTTCTGTCGTACATTCGTCATTTAATGCTTATTTCTTGTAGCTTTTAATATTAATGGAGTTATTTGCACCTACCATAAGAACTGACGAGTACCTATCGAGATCAAAGTGACTTTCTCAATAAATCGCTTCAGCTTTACATACCTCAGTATAATGAGGCCTTATAATTTAACTCACCTGTTCAAAAGAGTTTCAATCAAATGCGCTGAATGTGGCAGCGCCTCCACCAACAAATCTATGGGCAGCTCCGAAGCTACACTTTGTAGCACTCCAGGTCCCAATCTGGACAAGATGGCCGCCGCTTCCCGGAACTGTCTTCCTTCAGCCAATAGTAGCACGCGACGTAACGCAAGACGAGGAGAGGTATACGTGTTCTTCTCCCTCTCTCGCTCACGACGGATTCGCTCTCGACTTTCGTTCATGTTGACTTCGAGTTCCAGTAGTGGCACTAGCCCATTGTATTTTTAAGTTTGCGAAGTTACGTCTCGATCTGTGAAAGAATAAAATTGATAGTTGTGAGTACAATGAGGTGATGTCATGAGATGAAAGCTGACACTGCTATGGAAATAATAATCCGGCGTAAGTATTATCTGATATTATTTATTTCGGACAACACTATTACGAATAGTAAAGGTTCTATTGCTAAATACTGTGTGAAAAATTTATAGTCGATATAGCTTATTGTTTCTTATAACTATGGAATGGCCGAGGTCACGGGATATTTTTCAAGGATACAGAGTACCTTAACAAAGTGAAATGGAAATTATTTCTCAATTAACTGGGTATTTATGGAGGTGAGAAAAGCGTTCGATTTACACCCGCCCACTCATTTTGTATTCTCAAAAAAATGAATGAAGAAATTGAGCAGTGGGCGTGTTAATTGTTTTCAAAGGTCACCTTGTAATATTGGTAAGGTGTCAATGTTTATCGTATTGTATTAACACCGAATACTTACGCAAAAATATTAAAAAACATGTAAGTGCTATGTTCGTTAAAGCGATGACCTTTCACAAAGTTTATTTAGAGATCTGCCAACAAAATGTTCTATTTGTACTGAAAAAATTAAATTAAATGTCATTCCTCGGCGTACTCAATAATAGTGCCGTAATAGTTACGTACAACTGTTCGTAGGGTAACCGTTATTACAAATACCGAGATATACAATAGAATATACAATAAAATTTTTTGCAAATGCGTATTTTTTTCAAACACTTGATAAATATTTTTCCAAAAAATAGAATAAAATCACGACTAGTGATGCGGTGACCTACAGCGATACCAGTTTTTATGTGTCTATTTACCGGCGGACGGTAAAAAGTCGTAAACTCGTAATACCGTTGACCAGATTAAAATGAGCTGCGTAAAAAGTGGTTTGTTCGATTTGTGAGAAATTACAGAAATGTAGTGTTAGGGTGACTAAACGTAACTAATGGTAACTGGAGTGTGTGGTACAAGTTATGGGAGATAGCGGAATAACTGTATATAAATAAATGATTATATTTATTGTTTTGAAGAATGACTTTGATTATTATTTATTTAATGATAGTATTAGTGTTGTGCTGTTATATTTGTATTTAACAAAAAAATATATTACGTAATATCATTGAACAATGTACTGTAATGTAACTGTTCCACGAATTAAATTATGCACTAGTGTTAAATTGAAAGAAATAATTAAGTTTAGTTCTAATGAAAGTGTATTGTGTAACGATTTCAATTCAGTATTATCTTACACTGTTTAGATAGATCTGATTTGCATTTGCCTATTTCTAAGTCTTATACATAATTTTTGTCCTTATTAAATTACCAAGCTAATTTGGAAAAGATTGGAGAACCCCTTTAATTGTCCAGGAGTTCCTACTCCTAATTTTCCTCAATTAGGCATAATGTTAGACGAGTTTCAGTAAAAAATCTGAAAAAATTAACAATGAATTGTTGAGTGTTTCTTCAAAAATCTTTAAATTTTGTTTAACAAGTCATTATCCTCCCGCGTTGTTAAGAATCGCAGTAACTAAACTTATTAGCATCTGTATTTTATTGGATTGGATGAGAGCAGTAACACGGCTCAATTTTTTGAAACTAAACTTTGTATTTTAATCATCAGAATTGTTAGCTTTGGCTTAAGGATACTGACGCCGTTAATTTTTGTTCTTTTTTTTATAGAATCACCCTGTTACTAACAGATGGAAAACCTAACCAACAACGCCCCGTAGTCTTAACGGTAAATCTCTCTTCCTTAAAACTTGCACCACACACTATTCCAATGTAACAGTATCACGATGACAACTAACAATCGACAATCGACACTCGTATCGGCTCCTCACTACTGCGCTGATTGTCTTCCATTTGCGTCGCCAGCGCCGCCGCGGTAATTTGTGGGTCAACGCCTGTAATTAACTTCGATCGAATGAGATTTGTATCGAGACGTGCCAAGATATTCATGTTAGACATGTTTTTCGAATATTTTTCTGTAGGTCAGTTACTAGTAAATACATTTATATTATTGTCATGTCGTTAGCAGAGATTAGATTATTGAAATCGATAGCAAATTTTTAACAATTATAGAGTAATATGACATTATTTTTCCCATTTTCGGACAGTGCCGATGTCTTCCACATCTATGATTCCATTAGTAAAGGTTACTTTACTATTTAAGTGATTTAAACAGTACACATTCATGCCAAATTACATTACTCGGTTTACTATTGGCTAGAATTAAAACATAATGTCACCAATAACTCACGTATTGAAATCTAAGCCTTCAAAATAGTGTAGGTAATATAGACCACTGGATAATCACAATCCGCCTTTATCCTGATTACAATCCCGAGCGTGCGGCGCGTCGTGTTCTGAGCGCGCCTCTAAGAGCCACCACAGATGGGGCCCAATAGGGCTGATGCCGATACGGAGCAGCGGAAGATTTAACGGGTTACCGGGGCTCCGGCTCGAAGTGCAGGAGTAGGAACGGGGTGATTTTAGTCAGTAAGAGTCTGGCACCTCCCGCCTCATCTAGGGCGGGAGAAGTCATTCGATGATTTCGCCCCTTAAAAAAAATAGACATCGGAACGAACATAAAAATATCTCAATTACATTCGACCACCTTGTTCTACCGAGGTATGCCTCGCCCGGTGGGCCGCAAATAACTGACTACGGATATAATTTATAACATAATGACATAAGATTCCTCGCGAAAGTGATACTATCGAGGCTAGGAGGTCACTATGACTGCACATTAAGCTATCCTCAACTTACAAACTCCATCAAAAGAATCACAACATTATAGTTTTGGTGATAAAGTTGAAAATGTAATGAAACAGATGCTGGAGTTACTACAAGGCTTGTCTAGTTGATACTGCTCCTAGTTCAGAGCGATAAGAAAGTATCATAAGAACTCCTTTATGGGGTGTATCATGTTTCTAACCTGTTTGTAGTTATTTATAGGAAGTGTGCCTTGTTGGAGAAGTGGTCGGAAGCACTTCTGATGAGCACTATGTTAAAGGTACAATTTTATAAATTCACAGTCGCTCTTCATCCTGATACACGAAAAATTGACGTCTCTTTTTACGCAATGAATGAAAATGTAATTTACTTGATTGGGATTACTTATAATTACACCTAAGTAACTAATTAAATAATGATTTTGGTAAATGTCCAGAGCAATGACTTGTAACCGTACTAGAGATTCAAACGACCAAGATAAACTTATAATGGACTGTCGAAAGCAAATATTAAGTATTTGACTATAACAAACATTCATGCAAGATATGCAACTCACGTTATGACAAGTCAAACAGTTCGTCAGAAACCGTCTACATAATGTTTGTATGCAACTTAGTCTTTGAGCTATCTAATAATATATCCAAAATACCGTAAGCCACATTCTTGACTGGTCATAAAACGTAATTCTATAAGCAGTGTCATTGTCAGTAGAGTGCTGAGTGAAGCCGCGACTTTTGTCCACGGACCGGCAAAACTGCGCACACCGTTAAGTTTATACGTTGCCATGGTAACGGGTACATTGACGACTTGTGGTCGAAAGTTCTAGGACAGCTTGAAGCCACCGATTTAATCAGTGATGATACTTGTCGTAATTGATCGATTTATGTCCGAGATTATTGTAAAAATCTTCTTTTGACTAAGTAATTGGGCATTTTCCAAAAAGGAATTCAACTTCTCCTTATCTAAATGTTCTCTAGGCTAATGAGTTACGAAAACATATCTTCCAACGTAGGTGATGCGTGGATAGTGTTTGTTATGGATATAGGTGTTTATTTGTTTTTTATCCCAATAATATACCCCAGTTTATGTATAACTTCGTCTTCATCTACACCGATAGTACGCCTTGCTTTTTTATATTTGGCACCTTTAAAGTAAAACTGTTAACTAAACGAAAATTTTCATGACTAAGTATTTACATGAAACGAATATTTAAGAATCCTAAAATAATTATTAGTAGGTATTATAGTATAGTATTATACTCAATTCATGAAAATTTTCGTTTAGTAACGCTTTTACTTCAAAAGGTGTGATTTGATGGGCCGACGTTTGACCACTATCTCGCCTGGTGGTAAGGAGTCTTAGATCTTGAGCGGAGTTAAACGTCATCTGCCTAGTAAGCAAACTTTTCTACCACCTTCACATCTTCCTTGGACTCTCAAGCAATAGTCACACAGTGAAGACAGTCAGTACCTTCATCTTATAAGGAAAAAACAAATGTGAAAGTATTTCGACGGATGTCCGCTAATGCAACGACTGAGCTAATGGTACCTGTATTAGAACATTTAGAGTACAAGTGCTTTAAGAATAATTATGTACAGACAGAACTTTAATGAATTGGACACGTAATCGTTATCTTATTAGTCAATGATCTAAAGGACCGATAGACTAGCGTGTTTTTAATTTTTTTATGCCTTTCAAAGGCTGCCTTGTTAATGTTGTTCTTGTGTCTGATTTCCGAGTCAAAATACCACTATAGATAAAGTATTAAAGAGTAGCCAAATTAAAAGTAAAAAGTACCCTTAACCCACGAGCATGCATGAAAAGATAGATGACTGTTGATGAAGCGAAAGAGGTATGTAGGGATCGTAGCAACTGGCGTTCCATGGTCTCAGACTACCTCCATGGGAGACAGGCGTGAAGTTATATATGTGTGTACTATAAAGATTTTAAAATAAATGTTTAAATCCAGAGTCTTATCAAGTGTTTGAAGATATCATTTTTCAGTTTTAATTTGTAATGCACCATTTCTTATTTTTAAAAATAAAGTAACATTTCAGCCTGTTCCTATAACTCAGTCTAGTACTGGCTCCGCGTCAATCACGACTGCGCCTCACGACTTTTCTAACAAAAACAACAAGTTGCAACCATGTACTGTAATTGTATTTTCTCTTATTTATTGCCGCGCATGAAGTAATTAATGATT